ACATTTATATATATAAATATATATTGCAAGTTAAACAGTTTATAGCACACAAAGCCAAATAGCCTGAGAAAAGTCATAAAGAAAGTGTGGTGTCATAAAATAAGAGCCAGATACTGTGAGTCTCTAGTTGCCTCAATGCTGCAAAAAATCTATTATTAAATTTGAGGAGCCCATACAAAGTACTAAAACATGCTTTAGACTTAACTTTTTTTTTTTTTTCATGTATGTTTTTTTTTTTTAATTAAAATCTTTTCTTATAATAATACAGTTTACAAAATACAAAAAGGGTTTTCACTATGAATATTGGGTGCTCAGACCTTTTTAGTCAAAACTGTATATACATTGCTTCAAAAAAGCTTTAAGCGCACTTGTAACTTTTTTTAAGATCAGAGAATGCAGCGTTAGAATAACGCTCACAAACTATAATTAGTTTGGCACAGTCGAAAATAAAACTTACTATGATCATCCCAAAAGGTCGCTAAATGCAACCCAAACATGAGCATAGCTGAATTGCCTCAGACCTGAATAGAACAGTAGATGCCCATCAACAATTAGCAAGCTGATAAAGAGAAAAAGCAACTCAATTTGTACCTTGCAACAAAGAAGCCACTACTAAGCACTCAAAGACCATCTCAAGCGAAGAAATTGGTTTAAAGAAAGAGCTGCATGGACTGCAGAGAAATGAAGAAAAGTAATCTTCTAGGTTGAGCTTTAAACTTATCAAGAAAAAGATTTTAGTGAGAGGATACAAAAACAAAAAATCATGTCAAGACTTCAAGGAGGAGTAGACTTAATTTTTCCAATTAAATTTACTCTTGCTTGGTCGTCTTTTTTTAGTTTTTACCATAAAATGTTAGCTTTAAGTTTTTTTTTTATTTTAAAATCCGGGAAAAAATTTTTTTTTTTAATAGTTTGACAAACTGCCTGCCCAAACCAAACCCTCAGTTGATGTAGCAGCACTCTGTTGTGAGTCAGGCTATTTGTCAGTTGATGTAGCAGCACTCCGTTGCAAGTCAGGCTATAAGACAGTCAATGTAGCAACAATCCGCATATTTTACAGTTAAAAAATAAAAATAAAAAAATTCAGAATATTTTTATTTTTAAAAAACAAAATAAAAACATTCAGAATATTTTTAAAAACATTTAGAATGTTTTTAAAAACATTCTAGTCTTTTAATTTGTGGTTTTATGGTTTAATTACTTCCTGCAATTAAATTAATGCGTTTTGAAATAATGTACCCTTAATTTTGTCAACTTTAATACCACAAACAAGCTAAATTTAAATTACATACAGTTTGCTTTTAATTTTTCATGTTTCTTGAACGTGGAACGGCTATCTTCAGAAATTTTTTCAAATCTAAATGAACATTTATAAAAATGTTATTTACTGTTAATACTTTTTATCACGTATCAAATTTTTTAGTTTTTTTTGATGATAGATTTTTAATTCTATCAATAAACTTTGTAATAATAAAAAATTTAGAAAAATACCAACTTTACAAGCTGTTTTCGTATTTCTTCATTTTCTTGTAGAATAAGTATGTTTTGATCTTCTGTAGTATTTAACTAAAAATGGAAAAGAAATATTCCCGAAAAATAAAGAACTTTACACAAAAAATACTATCTGCAACGTCAAAAGGTTGCAAAAAAATTTAATATGATTTTAGTGCAAATTCGCAATACCACAAAACAACTATTAAATCAATTTTACATTTTAGAAAGCTAAGTATTTTTTTTCAGTCACAAAAAAAGTTTTTATGAAATTAAAAAAATTGTAAAAACGAATGTTTTTTATTTATTTCAGAGAAATATTTCAAAAATAAATTAATTTTTTTCAATGGGGCATGCATTGGCTGGTGAACTTCATCCCAAAACAAAATGTGTTTTTTACTGTTAATAATTGTTGCAATATTGTAGTTACTCAAATGTTGATAAATGAAAATAACTCTTACTCAGTCCTCTTTTTTATAAATATAAATGACAACAACTCTTACTCTGTCCTCTTTTTTATATTTTCTCAGATTATCCTTCACTATTAGCCGTTCACAGAAACTACAATCCGTTACAAAGCTAGTAGTCATTGTATGAAATACTTTTGTCATACTTGGGCTGGTTCTTCTAATGAGGCCCTATCTATTTTAGACAAGACCCAGAACCTAACTATAATTGTTGTTGCACCTGCTTTAGCTATGAAGCATCTCTTTTTTTCTTGCACAATCACATCTAGTTACATCTTGTCTATTCATGTTGTTTTGTTTTTTTAAACAAAACAAGATCAATAGACATACAAACATGCTCATATGCAACTCTTTAAGCTTTAAATCTTTGATATCTAAGTTATTGAAACATTATTTATTTATCAAATCTGAAAAACCTTGTTGATGACTATTTCACTTTATCTTAAATCATAAAACAGGCAACAAAATGTTCATTGCTTTACAACTAGTTATAGACAATTTAACTCGTTATAACTAGACAATAGTTATAACGAGCCACAAAAACATGCATTTGTTGTTTAAATAACCAGAAATTTGTTAAATAAACTATTTGCTTGATTTGCAGTGGTCCTCAACAAAATATACTTTATCATATTTAAATAACTGTTTTTGAATCATTCTTGTAAAATTTTGTAAAATGCCACCTTGTGTTCTGTTGAAAATAATATTTAAAAAATGTAAAAACTGAAGTGACATTCAATGTGGAAAATGCAATGGCATTTGATCAAAATGTGGAAAATGCAATGGCATTTAATCAAAATGTAGAAACAGTAGCGGCATTCAAACAACTAATACTTTATGATATTAGCATAGAAATATATTATAAGGAACAAATATTTTAGAAAACTATAAGTAATAAAAAAATTTCAAGGATTTAAACTCAAAAAATATTTTAAAAATAAATATTACATGTCTTTTTAACTTAATATTTTCTTCAAGTAAACGTTTGTTTGTTATTTCTAATTCTTCTAAACGAAGTTGACAGTCACTGCTATCCCTGGAATAAGAAAAATAATAAATAATTTAGATCATAAAACTAAAATAATTTAACATAGGTTATGTACCATGTACATGCTAATTCTAAATAATATTGTATTTACTTCATTAATGTTAATAAATTAATTTTTAAATAATTTTATAAATTTAGTTTCAAATTTTTAAATAAAAATAATTTTAAAATGTACTTATAAGTTATAGAATGTTTAAAATGTTAAAAACATAACATAATAACACTTTTTTATATCAAACACAGCCAAGTTGAACATATTATTGGAATTATTATTTACTCCATATAATTAATCCTTAAATATAATAATTATGTTGTTTTTATATGATTCAAATTTCATTTAAAAAGTCAGTCAAACTTCTATTACTTTCACAATATATTATAAAAACTTTTATACTATATATTTCGTTTTAAATATAAAAGTCCATCTCTTACCAACTTAAATCAGAAGTTTCTGTACTATCATTACTGTATGTACTTGAAACTAAAAAAAAACTTTATAATAAATTTGTATATAATATAAAATTATGTTATAAATAATTAGCTATTCTTTTACAGTTTTGCATTTCATATGACAACAACATTTTTACAATATTTTTACTTAACATTATATAAGATGTTTTTATATATATTATAAAAACAGATAAAAAAATACACTAATTTTATTGTAAAAAAAAAAAGTTTCAAATATTAAAATTTTTTCAAAAGAATTATATTTTACTTAAGATTTTTAGTAGTAGCAAATTCATTCCATTTAATTTTATTAACTAATTTTAAAATTAATGCATTAATTACATGTGTATATAATAATAAATTTTAATAGACTTGTGTTGCAAAAAAGAATTCTTTCCTTCTCACTGAGTCCTCTTCTTCATGTTGTCTTAGAGTAACATTTATTAACGTTAATTCCATTCTTTACCTCTACAAATCTCTTTTGTCCATGTATGGAATACTGTTGTCATATAAGGACTGATTCTTCTAATGATGCTTTTTCTCTTCTAGACAAGGTCCAAAAACACATTGTAAACGTAAATGGACCCTCTCTATCTGCCAAGCTTGAGCCTTTTTCCTATTGTTGTGAAGTTGCAACTCTTTTCTATAAATACCATCATAGTTACTACTTAAAGAAGCTATCATCTCTAATTCCATCAACTAAAACTCATTCTCGCTTAAATCGTCTTTCATCAAAGTTTTATTTGTTTACTGTATCTGTCCCTGCATGCTCAGAAAACTTTTATTTGTCTACTTTTTTTGGCACTTTAACCCTTTAGAACTCTCCCATCTTCAAGTTTTTTTGACTCATACAACCAACAACATTTTAAGTCTTCTGTCAACCATTTTTTTGCTCTATAACTCTATTCTTTTTTTTTTTTCTCAACTTAGGGTCAAATCATTATATTTTAACCAATTTGAAGAAAACTTTGTGGGTCTCACCATCTCTGATTTTCCTGATTTTTACATATTGTTATGTGCATTATGTAGATTGGTTAAATTTGTAATTTCAGATTTCCAAGTACAACGGTTCAGAAATTACAGCCTTAGAAACATGACACACTGGCCCCCCTTGATTTACAAATGGTCAAAACAGACTACTTTAGAACTGTATAACTTTTTTCTCACTTTCAATAAGTGTCTCATTTTTTTCTAGAACTTTTTCTGGATAGTTCTCTCTTTAAAAAAGTGGTTTTTATTAACTTTTTATTTTTTTTATTAAATAAGAGAAAAATAATGACCTATCCAACTATCGAAAAAAATCCTAAAATTTTCCTGATTTTTACATATTGTTATGTGCATTATGTAGATTGGTTAAATTTGTAATTTCAGATTTCCAAGTACAACGGTTCAGAAATTACAGCCTTAGAAACATGACACACTGGCCCCCCTTGATTTACAAATGGTCATTAACTCAATTATATCAATAAATCAATTACAAATATGCCAAAATGAAACTAACTGTAGCATTTTTCTATTCATCCGCAAGTCTTTACAGATAAGTTTATTAGCTACTTCTGTCTGCAATAAATGGGAAAAATATAGACAGCTTGTTAAAGTTTAGAACTAAAATGTCTATCTGTCTAAAAAGTCCAATTTTCAGCCATTTTGAACTAATTTTTCTAACACTTTGTTTTGATCTAAGATTAACAGTATATAAGACCATTAGACCCAACTATCTGAAAATGCAAACATAAACTTGTCAAATTTACACCAAAAATGCCAGCATTTTTAAATAACCCTATTTTTCAATTATCAATAGTTGAATGTGTTACTAGAGTGCCCCTCTAATCTGCCTACTGGCCTACCCAGCCAACACAAAACGTTCAAGTGCTTTGAACACATTCTATGAACGCTGAAGTACTTTGAATACATTCATAAAATGTGTTCAAACGTTAGCAACATTGTCTAAAGTACTTGAACGTTTTGTATTAGCTGGGTGAGACCCACAAAGTTTTCTTCAAATTAGTTGAAATATAATGATTTGACCCGGTAATAGTGGTTGCTTGCAGCTTTCTTAAGAGTAAATAAGATTATATATATATATATATATATATATATATATATATATTATTAATTTAATATCAAATTCATTTTTATCTTCATTTTAAAAAATAATTAGAATTTAATTGTTAACTTTTGTTAAAGTTCACTTTACATAACATAAAAGCAATTTGAAAAATATGAATAATTTTTTACTCCGGCTCAATTTTATTCACAATCAACATCTGTTTTTCTTATCATTTATTGTAAGAAATAGTGTGAATGAAATAATGTTACCTTATATCAAATTTAAATATATATTTATTATATATCAAATACACGAACATTACTAAAAAAGTTATTATTTTATAGCTAATACTGAAAGAGATTTTTTATTTTTTTACTATGGCGTAAACACATCATAGGAGGTATATGGCATCCCTGGGTATGAGACAGAGGAGAAAGGAGACAAAGTACAGATTGGATAAATAATTTTGTCCAATATATTACTGTGTATGGTAATAAATAAAAAACAAAATAATTATTACATTAATAATTTAAGTTAATCTTAAAAAGTTCTATATAATTAAGAATATTAGTTGGAAAAAATCTGTTGGTAATAAAAATAGCACTAAAAAAAAATTAAAAAATAAGTCAAAATAATTTTACCACTTAATAGTTTTCTTTCTTCAACCAACAAAGAACTAAAACCCTCAATATTAGAATGAAACTAAAGAAAATCATAAATTACATTTTAAAAAAAATCATTAAATATGAAGAGAAAAAATATAACTAAATATCACCAATCAAACCAAGTAGTGTTTGAAAACCATTTAAAAAAGATTCAGTCAAGATAAAAACCAGGTCTTAATCTAAGATTAAGACCTGTTTTTTGTTTTGTTTTTTTCTACATTAGACAGGTTCTTTAAAGCCTTATATTCTTAGATAACTAAACTAACCTTTTCAACTAAGCCTTATGCACAATGCTACACAACTATGCTTGAATGCCTTTCAGTTATTTTGGAAGGGTTAAGTCTTCAAAAATTGTAGAACTATATGTTGGATTTGTTAAACATTCCAATTTATGTTAATAAAACTATTTATTCAATTTTTAATTAGACTTAGAAGCAATGACAAAATTCCAGGAATTCTTCTAGAATGTTTTCTTTTCTCTCTTTATAACATGGAAAATATATGAATTATATATATATGTATAATTTTTCTCTAACACAGAAGGCCTTTCATATAAAATCTTCAACTATGTATGATTTCATATCATAATGAAGATTTTATATGAAAGACCTTCTGTGTTAGATAAAAATTTTAAATATTTGTTAAAAGTTAACTAATAAATATATTTTACTCATCTTAGTTTGAATAGTTTTTCTTTTGTTACCCGGAACTTTTTACTTATATTTGTTAAAAATTTTTTTTTGCTAAACATATATATATATATATATTATATATATATATATATATATATATATATATATATATATATATATATATATATATATACATATATATATATATATATATATCTTATACTGCTGAGTTAGGTGAGCATGATGATGTCATACTCACCTAATGTCAAATAGCCTGCTGCAGGGGGCTTCAGTACATACATCGACTGACAAATAGCCTGACTCGCCGTGGAGTGCTGCTACATCGACTGAGGGTTTGGTATGGGTCAGCAACATTTTCATTCATTATTCTTCGTTTTCCCTCATCGTTTTCTAAAAATGCTCACTTATATATATATATATATATATATATATATATATATATATATATATATATATATATATACATATATATATATATATATATATATATATATATATATATATATATATATATATATATATATATATATATATACATATATATATATATATATATATATATATATATATATATATATATATATATATATATATATATATATATATATATATATACAAAAGTGCTCATATTACCTAGACCACATGGTAATAAGAGCACTTTATATTAGCTCAAAAAAATAACATTAATTAAGTAAAAAAATACCAACCTGACAATTAGAACTAATTTTTGGATTATAATGATTCGTTATTAATAAAAGTTTATCAAAAGATCGAATATTAAGCCACTTTTTGCTGAAACAATACTACTATGTTTTCCGCAAGAAAAAAAAATAAATTAGTTCATTGTTTTTTCAATTTTATTAAACTCAAACCTTTGAACAATAAAATTCAAATTTTTTGATTATAAATTACAGAAAAATATTTAGTATTGTTCAAATTAACATTTTTTTACTATATTTTGTTTTTAATCAAAAAGCAATTAAAACCACTGCTATTTTAGGACTTTAAACTAGGTGATTTTAATGAAAAACACTGGGTAGTTTGAGCATGCTCATATGACACAGAAATATCATCTTTAAATAAAGTTAAAACTAAATATTTCTATGCATTGTTTTTCAAACAAAAATGGATTGGATATTTAGCTAATCTATTTTTCTTTATGAAAAAATTTATTTTATTAATTTAACGCTAAAATTTTGCTTCACAGATTTATTTTTGCGTGATGATATTATTTTAACAACGCCAAAAAATTTAACAACGTTTCAATTATATAATACTCGCTAATTACTGCATATAGATTTACGCTAATTGTACTGATTCCTGTTATCATCACATAAAATCGATTCAAAAAATACAAAGCAACTTTAACTTCACTGCTTACATTTAAGAAACCTTTGAGTATGCTCATATTACCAAGATGCTCATATTACCCTAATCTACCCTGTTTCTCTATTTGTAACTTGTAAATTGTTTTATGAAATATAGTTTTAAAAAAAACTGTTAAATAATTTAAGTTTTAATTTTGTATTTACAATATTTCTGAATTTGCATATTCACTATTTATTAAATAAATTACAACAACTAATTATAATAATAAAATATTGATGAAACAATACATGATAATTAAATTAGACAAAACACATTATAAAAACAATTTTATAAACAATTTAACAAAACCTTTTTATATATTATATTGTATATATTGTATAAACAATATAACAATATTGTATTTAACAATAATTTTAATTTAATTTAACAATATTGTATAAACAACTTAACAAAACCTTTTTATCTTCAGTTGAATTTTTGTAAGAAAACTGTTGAATATCTGGAAAACTTTCACCATGCAAACTATATAAATATTTTTAAAAATGTGTATAAAATACAGATATAATAAATAAAAACAAGTAAATTACCAGAATTATTATTTGCAAACTTTTATTTGTGAAAAAAAAAACTAAAAATATTTCAGACTTTTGCTGCTAAAAACAAACTCCACAAATTACACTTTTTCTTTGATAAAAAAGGACATTAAAATAGCACTTATTATTTGTAAATAATATTATTATATAATTTTATTTTATAAATTACTCTTATTTTTATTGTTAAAACAACTTTTAATATTTGACAAAAATAAACAAAAAAAAAAAACAAACCAAAAACATTCTAGTATCTGACATGTACATACAATTAATCTTAAAACAATAAACTAATGAATTATCAAAAGATTAAAATACTGTTTTTAGAATGTCAAACAATAAACATGAATAAAAAATTCAAAATTGACAAATAATCATATCAATTAAACAAATTAAATGTTCAAACAGTTATAAAACCAATTTGTCTGAATTAGATAAGCAAACAGTAAACTTATTTGTTTAACAAACTAACATACTTTTGTTTCTTTATTTTTTTAATCCATTTTTTCATTCCTTTTTCATAAACCATTTGATTAATAAAAGGGTCAACTCCTTTTTTGTCTAAAATTTCTACCAGGTCATTTAAATAAGGTAAAACCTAAATTACAATTTTGCAGATTGTATGAAATAGTAAAATCTTTAAAAGTTAAAAGTAAGTAAACAATAAATATAAGTTACCTCGCTACCAGCTGCTTTCTCTTTCAGAAATAAAACAAGTGTTGAAACTCGGACATAACCATGATTTTGTTTGTCACAAACTTTAAAAATTCCAATTAAAATATCTGAAATTTCAGATTTCAGATCTTCCATCTTATTTATAAAACAAAAACACTCATTTAGATTAGCATTTATTAAAAAAAAAAAATCTTATATCATTATTTATTTTCATTACTATATTATATTTATAAAAAAATAAAATTATGTTGTGAAATTTGAAAAAAATAGTTTCTAATGATCTTTAAAAATTATAAAATATTAAAAGTATATCATAGTTTTCAAAAGCATTTGTTTGCAAAGCAAACAAATGCATAATGCTTTCATAAAAAAAATTATGAAAAGCAATAAAATAATTGTATACACATCAAAAGTAAACATTCATTTAATTATTCAGAAATATAATAATATTTTATTTGGTTTATATTATTAATAAAAATTAGCAAAAAAAAAAATCTTTTATAAACTTGTTGTCAATAGTATTATTATTACTATTTATGTAATAAATGTTATTATTATTACTTTTGTTTCTAATAACTTCTTTTTATCCATGATAAGTAACTATTATTTCGAATAATCAATTATTACTTTAATTTCAATAACATTGAAGATAATTTATTAGCCTAATTATTTTGAAATTAAATTTCATAACAAATTAATTTTTTTGAAATTTACCGCTACTATTTATTTTTAACCGACCAATCAAAAATAGTTGGACAGAAATAATTTGAAATGTTCTAGTATGCGATAGTATATAATTTGTAAATTATTAAATAGTATATAATTAGTATATAATTAGTATATAATTTGTAAATAGTATATAATTTGTAATAATACGATTTGTAATAATACGATAGTATATAATTTGTAAATTAGTAAATAATTTGAAATGTTCTAGTATGCGATAGTATAATTTTTTGTTTTTACATACGCACAAAAAAAGATAGGTGGGCAAAAAAGGAGAGCAAAAAGTAAAGAAGAGGTAAAAAGCGGTACCATTTGTTTTACACTTCCCTCTTATTATACTTTACTTTTACTTCAAAACACAAACTCAGTCAAACAGGTTGTTTTCTGAGACAACTGTCGACTTTCCTGGCTAAATGCTCTTCCGCGGTGCTCTGTGATAAAACCGATAGGTCTTTTTAGAGCACATTAAAAAAAAAAAAAAAAAATAAGAATATAAAATTGGGTTAAGTTGTATAGTGCTGTATTGAAGACTAATTCGATATTTAAATAGTATTTTAAATCCTCAGAAAAGTTTCTTAATTAAAAGTTTTAACTTACTCATTTTTTATTTTTCCTGATCGTCAGCGGGTCTCCAAATGGCGTACTCAAAGTAGTTAAGGAGAGATCCGAAAAAATATATAGCGCTTAGGCCCAAAAAATGCCGTTTTATTTTGTGTGCGTTTTGATTGATTTATTTTTTTAAAAAAATCACGAAGCTCGTTGTTTCATTTTGTTTACAAATATATAGTAATTTAAAATCTACGAGTTTAAGATTTTATGTAATTACTTTGGGGCAGCAGTTATATAAAACCCGAAACCTTTTCTTTTGGTAATTTATTCAAACGACTATTAAGAGATTATGAAAGTAAATTGCTATGAGAGAAAACTAATGTGAAAACTTTGATTTTAATGTGTTTTTTTCTGTTTACGGAAAAATAAAAAGTGAGGTTTTTAGCTATTTATTGAATATTCTGATGCTGTAAACATGGTAGAAAAAGTATTAATTTGATAAATGTAAAAAATTTATAATTCATCAATAGTAGCAAAAATCTTAAAACACAAAATTTCTGAGAATTTCACGTTATTTCTTACGAGAAACTACGATTTTTTCTCGTACGCAATGTTTATTAATAAATAAAAATCTTTTGGGACAAAATTTTGTACATAACCTTTTCGGTTTTGTACAAGATCTCGTCTCGGACAATTTTTTTTCTTTATTTTCTTGTAGAAACTATAGTAGACGGCATTTAAAATGTAGTAAAATCAAGAAAGACACCCAATTCAAACTTTCTTTATATTTCTTATGAGGTATAAAATCGCAAGTTCTGTTGAATGATTTGTTTGTTATTCACCGAGGATTTTCTAATCTATTAAGGTGAGTTTCCACTCATCCGTTTTTTTTACGGGAACGGGAAAGGAAAGGGAAAAATAATCACGTGAGCATGAGTGGAAACTCGCATTTAAACATTAATAAACTTAAAACCTATTAAATATTTATAAAGTCAATTATTTTGCCAAGAATTTATAAGAATTGAGGAAAAAAGTAATAATTATACAAAAAAAAAAAAAAAGAAACAGAATGATTGTGATTAGTCAGGAATTATTTTATAATATAGCCGTTAAATAGTTAATATTCATCTCTAAGAGCGATATTAGCGAACTTTTTGCCACACACTCTTAAAAAAGTTCCGGTAAAATTTACACGAACTGTTCAGGCGATTTTTTACGCCTGAAACTTCAGGCGAAACAACTGAATGTTCGATCGATGCGTTCTGACGATGTCTTTTGCCTGAACAGTTCAGGATTAGTTTAGATCAACAGTTACAGTTAATATAAATTATTCCTGAACTTTAGACAAACTGCACGAACCCGTAAAAACCGGAACTTTTAATCTTAACTTTTTGCTTTTTAAAAGAATGTGCTCGGTAATGTTAAAAAATTTAAACACTCATGAGTTGATTAATCATTTGATTTCAAAAGGAATTTCTGTGGAAACAACTGCTAAATTGTCAAGTAAGTATTTACTACATAAAAATTTAGTTTTAAACATTAATGCATAAAACCATAGATATATAAATTATATATCTATGCATAAAACAAATTTAACTAGTTGAAATAACTTTAAAAAATGTTATCTTTCATAAACTTACTGTTTAAAGGTGAAGATATTGACGGAGATGCATTTTTGCAAATGAACTCTGTTTTGTTTCATTGTATTGGAATAAAAATGGGTCAAGCTATAAAGCTTCAGTCTATCATTGCAGCAGAAAAGGTGAATTTAATATTATAATGTACTTTTTTTTTAGGATGTCAATGTGTTGTTACCTTTGCCCCAAAGATTTTTCAACTGTTGCTTTTTACATAAATCACTTGAGGAACTTTCATCTTTTGTTTGAGCCTTGTCAACTTCGTTGTAATGTTGATGGTTGTATAAGATTGTTTACTACATACAATATGCTTAGAAAACATATAAATAAAGATCATGCCAGTTTTGTAGTTAATATTGCTCGAACATTTAGCATAAGTTGTGAAAATCCAGTAACACCTACTTCTGAAGCTAAAAGTGAAATTAAAATAGACAAAGAATGTGAGATAAAAATTGATGACGTTGCCTCACCTATTGTTGATGAGTATGGCATATCACAAGCAGCATTAAAATTTATTATGGCTTTAATGTCTTCCAGTTCTATTCCTCTAAGTACTTCAGAGTTTGTTAAGAGTTGTTCACAAAACCTAATTGAAGACATACTTAGTTATTTACTATGTAAAACAATTGCTATACTGAAAACATATAGGTGTGAGAAACATGTAATTGACAATTTAACAGAAGAGTTTAACAGATGGAAAACACCTTTTAGTGGAATTGATTCACAACATCGAATATTATCATATTTGAAAAATAAAGGCCTATATATTGAACCAGTACCACATTCAATGGGTGAACGATGGGATACAAAACGTGACAGAAAGACTAAAAGGCAAATGCAAGTCAAAGTAAAAGATTTGTTTTATTACATACCTATTGAAAGCACAATAAAGCTTGTGTTGCGACAGCCAGAAGCCTTGAAAATGTTAAAAGTGGAGCAAATATCTAATTTAGATTTTGTTGAAGATTGGTTTTGTAGTGAAAATGGAAAAAAATTAATGGCATATGCCAAATTTAAATTTCCGAAAAGTTTCCCTTTGTTTATTCAAATTTACTTCGATGAAGTAGAGACCACAAATCCTCTTGGATCAAAAACAGGCATTCATAAACTTGGTGCCTTTTATTTTGTGATAAAGAACTTTCCTCATGCGGCAAACTCAGCCTTGAACAACATTCATATGTTAGCATTAACTCACGCAATAGACATAAAGAAATATTCAGCAGAACCAGTGATAAAAGTGATTGTAAATGAATTGCAAAAACTTCATGACGAAGGATTTGATATTTTTATTGAAGGCAAAAAAACTAACTTTAGATGTTTACTAACCCAAATTGTTGGAGACAATTTAGGTCTGCACTCTATATTAGGATATATGGAAAATTTTAGTACTGTTTCTTTTCCATGTGACATGTGCATGATATCACAAGTTGACATACAGCATGTTTTTAAAGAAGAAAAACAAGCTCTCAGAACAGACATTTTATACAACTCTCAAGTTCATCAGATGCAAAGAGGCAAAATTTCTAATAAGAACTGTGGAATTAAGCGGTTTACTTGTTTAACTGAATTGCCATATTATCATCCTGCTTCGAATGATTCTGCAGACATAATGCATGATATTTTTGAAGGAGTTATTCCGTGCGAAGTTAAATTGTTTCTTTACCATGTGTTGTATGATGTCAAATGTATCTCCATTACAGAACTGAATAGGCGAATCAAGTTTATGGATTATGGTATTGTCTGCAGCTCAAAACCTAGTACTATTAATGAGTCGCGTATGAAAAGTACTGACTCTTTACTAGGTCAACGCTCTGCTCAGATGCTTACACTGTTTATGTATTTGCCACTTATTTTGTCTGATGTTATTGATAAAGTAGATACACAAAAGTGGAAACTTTACCAAATCTTAAAGCAATTGTGTGATATAATCTTATCTCCAAATTTAAATTGTTTACAAGTCACGTATATTGAGGAGTTAGTAATGGAACATCATTCATTGATGAAAGAATGTTATCCTGAGAAAAAACTTCTTTATAAGCATCACCGAATGATTCATTATGGAACTATTATAAAACGAAGTGGGCCTCTTCTTCACATGATTGTTATAAGGTATGAAGCCAAGCATAATTTTTCAAAAAGATTAGCTCATATTGTTTGCAATTTTCAGAACATTTCTTATTCAATTGCAAAAAGACATCAAATTGCTCATGCTTTAGCATGGATGACTCATGGTCCCCTAAAAATCATTACTGATGTAAAAAATAGTGCAATGTTTTTAGTTTCAGAATTAAAGAACAAAAATCTTATTATTCCCTTTATTGGTGAAGAAAGTGAGGTTTTAGCTGTTGATTGTGTTACCGTTTTGGGTCAGAAATTTAGATCAAGTGAAACAATTCTTTATGATTTTAATAGTGATGGTGAACCAAGTTTTGCTCACATTGACCAGATTTTTGTTCATTGCGAAGTTGTGTATTTTTTCACAACAAAGTGGATTGTCCACAAATACTGCAATCTATCTTTATCTTACTGTTGTTTACTAGATAACCAAAAACTATGTATAAGAACATGTGATATAATAGATTACAAACCTCTTAATGCAGTGCGTTGTTTGAAAATAAATTGCCCATTCATGCACATTATCTTGAATCATCAACTATGTCATGATAACTTTCTATACCTACCCCACGAAATATCTGGCGATATTGTAAATATTAATTATATGTAACTCAATATTTTATTATAAATTCGGTTGTAAAAATAATCTTTTTATTATAGATATAGTTACATACTGTATATATATATATATATATATATATATATATATATATATATATATATATATATATATATATATATATATATATATATATATATATATATATATATATATATAATATATATATATATATATATATAAATATATATATATATATATATATATATATATATATATATATATATATATATATATATATATATATATATATTAGGGCTGTTCAGTATGCTAATTTGTTTTCAGAACATAGCTAATTGAAGTTTTTCCCATTCAACTATCATATTGTGTATTGTGGTTCAAAAATATTTTTTACTAAATTTTATTATTTGCCCTAAAGGTCCCTCAAAGCCACTAAACATTTGACAGGTCCCTAATATTATTAAAAAAAAAATTATTTAAAAATATGTCAACTTGGTACTCAAAAAAAGCAAAATTTTATAAAAATTTTAAAAATTAGATTCATTTTTTATAAAAAACAACTTAAAAGAATTTATCATTAAAAATGTTTTGAATATTACCTTTTTTTCATTTTTCCTTTAAAAACCATAGTTTTTATTCAAAAAAACCTAATATTGTATTTTTTATAAAAAATACTTTTTGTTTTTGAAATTTTTAAATGATTTTGCTTCTTTTGAGTACCAAGTTGACATATTTTTAAATAATTTTTTTTTCTATAATATTAGGGAGCTGTCAAATGTTTAGGGGCTTTGAGGGACCTTCAGGGCAAATAATAAAACTTAGTAAAAAATATTTTTGAACCACAATATGATAGTTGAATGGGAAAAACTTCAATTAGCTATGTTCTGAAAACAAATTAGCATACTGAACAGCCCTAATATATATATATATATAAAGATATATATAGCTATTTTTAAGAACAATAAAAGTATAGCAATATGTAAGTTTAGATAAATTGAATTGAATTATTTTTTGTGTTTTAGGAACAATCCACAGATTTTGTGCAGACAGAGTGTTTACAAACTGATTTCACTGTTGAAAATAATCTTGTTTCACCTAATCAGACTAGTTCTAGTACTAGTTTATCAACTTCCAATCCCTTTTCAGATTCAACACATTCACGTGATAGCGATGTTCTTCATACTCCATATCCAGTACTTAGAATAGACAATATCAAATTTGTAAATTTTTTAACATATATAGCTGTATTGCAAAACTATAAGGACTGATTTTAATTTCTAAAAATATATTTCAAAACTTTCTACTTTTTTAGGATGTTCGAAAACTGCTTGATGAGCATCAGACAGGTAAACGTGTCATTGTTGAATATGAGACAACTGGAATGTTAATAAAGTACAGATTTGAAATGGTTCATATCCTTGTTAACATTATGGTAAATAAAGTTGGAAACATGTAAGTTATTACATTAATTTTATATTGATTATAGATTTTACAGTTTGTTCATTTCTGAATATTCAAATGCATAGTTATTAAGTTTTTTAGAACACTTTTTTATAATAAAAATATAATATATAGGCATGAACAGAACATGTAAATGTTAAGTTAATGATTCATGTAACCATGTAGAAAGTCTATTTATTTAACTTACCTATAACATTTGTTAAATATTGTGGTTATTAAATTATTAGGTATTTACTTTAGGTATCCATCAAGAGCAACAAAAACAAATCTTGCTATGTCAATTATTAATGCTTTTCCTAAACTGCACTCTGGTGGACCTCTAGGATATGTTTGTTATTTAACTTTGTTAACTAAAAGTAATTTGTTTGTTTGCTGTTTAAACTGCATTATATTTAATTAAATATTTAGGAAAATTACTATTGCGCTTATAAGGAAGTTGAAGTAAATGGCAAAAAAAAGAAAATAACACCTCATGGACATATCGAGGAGCGGCTGAAAACAATTAGGAAGTTTGATGGTGTCCATGCCCAATCTACACGAAAACGAAAATCCGTTTCTCAAACGACTTTTGATGTTGCAGGTAAGCTAAATGATATTGTAAGTCACGTTTATATATACAACAAATGATGCGTAACTATTTTTTTCAGTTCCTTTTTCAAATGAAGAACGAAACATTATAAGTGAGTTGTCATTTGATGACATTCAGTATGACCGAAAACAATATATTCTTGAAAAAACTAGAGTATCGCGAAGAAACTGGATTCTGTCATCAAAACCACCTTTTCATGAATTTATTCGGAAATTTCCCCCATTTAAAGATTTAGGATTTGATGTAAGCAGTACTGTCTTTTACATTTGTAGTGTATATCCTTATGTCTTGAATTACTGCTGGAATATTGGAGTATTACTATTAATATTATATTATGTTAGTATTAAGTATAATACTGTATTAGTATAATACTGGAGTATTACTAGTGTAAAATTGATTTTCTGTTTGAAAAACATTTCATGACTCTTTATATAATCATTATATTAGTTTCAAAGAGAGTTTACAGCAACATTTGAAAATGCTAAAGATTTGCTTACGCAATGGGAGGATATGGCTCCTCATGTTATTACTTGGGCTCGTAGAAAGGAGAATCCGATGGCAAAGCAACTACTTTTAGAGCTTGACAGCCAGCTAATACCTGCAAATCGTATGTCCCATTGTCTTCTTTAATTACTGTTTTCTTTTTTTTTTTAACTTTTATTAACTATTAAAACTATTATACTATTCTAAAATATGTATATGTATTGTTTGAGTTTTTAAATATTTTTTGAAAATCAAAGATCGATATATGGAGTTTGCATTTCACTTGCTTCCATACATTCTTCAAGTGCCTCCTAGAAATAAGGATCGACCGTCTACAGCTGAAGTTGCAGCTCACTTTATTCAAATCTTTCCTGTAAGTTTAATATTTCTAGCTAAATGATATGTGCTATAAACTAGGTCAATAATATAAAATAGGTCAAGGACACCAGCTTGTATATTGTATCTTAATTATTTTTATTTTTATAAAGGAAACTACAGCTATGGAGACGATAATTGATGCAAATAGACATACCTCTTTCATGCATCCATTTGTTATTGCACTAGGGGCTCGAGGCAATTTGATTCAGTCATTTATTTTTATAGAAGACAATGTTATTCCTATTAGAAATGGCATGTTAAGTGCAGTCGACCGTTTGCTGAAACTATATTTTGTAATCGATATTAAATATGCGAAAGAGTGCAAACATGTTTTACATTTTTTGCAATGTGTAGTTATGGGTATTCATGACGATTTGCCGTTGTCAAGAGGAGGCAGTGATCTTTCGTTGTTTGTTAATGAAAAATTAAGGAGTGGATAAACTTTTAAATGTTTTTATTTTAAAGGGTACGAAAATATATTATATCAAGAAAATATCACGTACTTTATAAACAATCATGTTTGTAATTCTGTTGAAACTTATAATATAAATTATAAAATTGTTTAATTGAATAAACATGAGCTTTTTTTTTTTAATTGATATTTGCGTTACTGCAATGAACTTAGGGAGAAAAAAATTTATTTTGATTAAACCAAAATATATTCTTTTACATTTTGATCATATATTGGAAATCATTTTTTTCAAACAAAGAATTCTATATAAATATTTAATCTACCAGAACTTTCTCATTATAGGCTACTTTCTAACATGTTTAATTTTTTTTTGTAAAAACCAGTTTGGGTTCAGATTTTGTACCGCGCCAGTTCAGTTTTTTTTTAAGAACAGTTCAGGTTCAGGTGAATTGCCTGAATGTTCGTCTGGCACTTTTTGAAACAAACTAGTTCAGGCGAAACGCCTAAAGTTCGTATAATTTACCGGAACTTTTTCCTGAACTATAGTTCAGGTTATCTAACGCGGTTGTTCAGGTTTTTTTAACGAACAGTTCAGGTTCAGGTGAATTACCTGAATGTTCGTCTGGCACTTTTTGAAACAAACTAGTTCAGGCGAAACGCCTGAAAGTTCGTATAATCTACCGGAACTTTTTTAAGAGTGCAGTGAATAAAGAACTTAAACTTTTATCCCACTGGTTCAAATCCAATAAATTAACTTTAAATACTGACAAAACTAAATGGACTCTCTTTCATTCGAATAGGAAAAAAAAAATTTTACCCTTAAACTTGCCTCCAATCTTTATTGATGAAATTGAAATAAAAAGAGACTCCGTTATGAAATTCTTAGGTGTTTATCTCGATGAGAACATTAATTGGAATCAACATATTAATTATATATGCACTAAAGTCTCTAAAAACATTGGAGTTTTATACAAAGCTCGAACTTATCTCATAGCTTATGCTACATAAACTACGCTAATATTGCCTGGGGAAGTACTGAAAAAAGTAAATTACTACGTCTTTATCGCTGTCAGAAACGAGCAATTCGCAATTAACTTTGCTGATCGTTTTTCTCATTGTAAACCTTATTTTATTGAGATGAAAATTTTAAATATATTTGAACTCGACGTTTTAAAAAATGTATGCTTTGTTTATATGTGGAAAAACAATCTATCCCCCCTAGTCTTTAAAGATTTTTTCAGTTTAAAACCCAGCAACAAATACACTCTTAAAAGAAAAAAATTTTTTAACGAACCTTTTTGTCAAACAAATTTTAATCAATTTTGTCTTGCCTATCGTGCACCGCACCTATGGAATAAACTTGTTTTACCTAATGTTGATTTTGATCGACCAAATTCTTTTTGTCTTAAAAACAAAATTAAAAATCTTATTTTTTCCCTCGATAACATTTTAGAGTACTATTAATTAATTTATCTATTATTTAACTTTTCATTATTTTTCCCTAAAGTTTTGTTGTTTACAACTATTTATATTTAAAGACTTGCTTATTTAAAAAATTCTAAATATATATTTTACTTTACTGTAACGTATACTTTACAAGGTATTCGTAAATTATATTGTTTATTTATGTTTTTAAGGTTCCGATGATAAGATCTTAGTGATCTTCTTTCGGAAACCTAGTTTACACTGTTATCACGATTTGTATATATATATATTTGTAAAGCAATTTTAAAGTTTATTGTATTGTAAAACGACTAACTTTGTAAGCTGAAAAAAAAAAAAAAAAAAAAATTTGGTTTCAGTGAATTCTTATCATGAAGGACATAAATCTCAATCATTTTGTCTTGAAAAAAATAAAATACATGTTTTAACTTTTTCTCAATTTAAAAAACAAAGAAATCCGATCCACTGTGCCCCAACCTCCCTTATATATGTTATATATATGTAATATTTAAATATTGGTAAAATCTTTGCGATTTATCTGGGAAAATTTGTGATTTATCTGGGAAAACACCTTTTTTAATTGATGATTTAAAATTCTAAAAAAAAAGACTTTTTTAAACCGATATCAAATACAATAGTACTGAGAAAATCGTCAATGTGTAAAGCTTGTCTTTTTTAATTTCTCGAACTTTAAATAACTTTGAACAAGTAAACTAGTATGGTCAGTAAAATAACTTTTAAATTATTTTTTTAAAAATTATTTTTTTTTTTAAATTATGACATTAACTTTTGACCAAAATTTATCTTTTCTATAACATCTTAACTGTGATTAGACTGTAATTTTACCACCGAGCGGCCTGGTGAGCGGCCTGGTATACAATAACTTGTAAATTTTATTGATTCTGAATAAATTAAATAATTTTTTTTTTTTAACTTTTATGGTTTCTTTATTTGAATACTTAAATTCGCTTTTCTTTTTTGAGGACAAAATTTTAGAATTTATTATGGTTTTGCCAATAATTTTATTTATTTTCCGCGTTTTTTTAAGGTGGATCAACCCTATTAAAAATATTAAAAAAAAAAAATCATAACTTTTTTTTTTTTTGCTTCTTTATCTAGTTTAAACGTTGCAGATTCCAATAATATATCATTTGAGATGAATTGTACGTTTCATTATAAAGAAATTTATGTTTTTATGGTAAGGGTAAATAAGGTTATCCATAGCAACACCTTAGCAACCTTAAAAAAACAGATAGGGGCTCAAAGAAGATGAGGATGGCAGTACGTCATCGCAATCTTTTTATAGAGCCCCTTTAACAAAATTTCATAATACTAATACGTATTAAAATTTCAATATCGTAATAAATATCGTAATAAAATGCGTAATTCGCTAATAAGATTGTTAAACAACAACAACAACAACAACGACGACAACAACAACAAAAAGTAGAGTGGTAACATTAACCAAAAAAGTTTCTCAAATTTTAAAAATTTCTTTTTTTTGTTATAAACTTGAATGAACTTAACGAATTTATCGTACCTTTGAATCCTTTTTGAAAGGTATTCCATACTTTAGGACCTCGAATTGAAATGCTATATTCTGAATATTTGTTTATTATCCGAGGCAGTTTATATGTGTTTAACATATTTGCTCTAAGATTATAGTTTTCATTTTTATTTAATTCAAAATTATTATTAAAGCTTATAGGAGAGATATTGTAATTGTAACGATACATGAAAATTAAATGCTGATAGACATTTATTTCAAACACATTCATTATTTTGATACCACTCATTAAGGGTTTAGCGTGCTCACGCCTATCCTTATAGTAAATGGTTCTGCAAGCATGTTTTTGCAAACTATACAGTTTTTTAAGCTTTGATGTTTAAGTACTTGCCCATGAAATGTTTGCATAGCTGATGAAGCTATGTGTTAGCCCAAAGTAGATTAATTTCAGACTTTGTGTATTGACGTAAGAGCGAACTCGATACATCAAACCTATGATTCCAAAGAACTTTACATTGGATTGCTTTTTAATTAGTTTATCATTTAGGAATAATTTAGGCAACTTGAGAGGAAGATTTTCCTCTTGTATTTTTTATGGAATAGAATATAATTTGTTTCCTCAGCATTAAGCAAGAGTTTGTTAGCTTTAAACCAGTTGTTTACTTTAACTAGTTCTATATTCATGTCAGCATTTAATGTTTTGATATCATTGTTGGTAAGAAATAGATTCGTGTTATCTTGAAACATGACTGAATTCAGTTTTAGGGATGCATTACAGAAGTCATTTATATATATATATATATATATATATATATATATATATATATATATATATATATATATATATATATATATATATATATATATATATATATATATATATATATATATATATATATATATATATATATATATATATATATATATATATATATATATATATATATATATATATATATAAGAAAAAGGAGAAAAAGACTGTAATTTGTTTGCAATAACTATATTACTAGGTATCTCATCAAATCTTTGTGCTTTTTTTTTTAAAGAGACAAAAGCTGCTTCAAAGTCATAGCTTAATTCGTAATCATACATTATAACGTTATTCGTGGGTTAAAGATTTAAAAAGATTCAGATGTTGGTATTAATTTTTTAACAAGGTTCGGACCAATACTTTTAAAATATTTATTGAATTCATCCGAGATGAGTTTTTGACAAAATATATCGTTGTTTTTAATAACAATTCGTTTAGGTAGTGAAGGTGAATTTAGTTATTCTTTTTTCGGTGTATGTGTACACCGCTAAAAATCAGTCGATGTATGTGTACACCGCTGCGCAAATCCTTATATACCCCATTTTGCTTATTTCCTAGAAATACGAGTTCGCTGTCGCAAAGGACGTTTAACGTCGGAATAGGGGTTTTACAAGAGTGCGTTCCTGATAAAAGTTTCGAAGTTTTTTATTTTTCCACTCGGTGGGCGATAAACACATCCAATTAAAATATTTCGGTATTTTTTAATAATAATTTCAATGAAGAAACTTTCATAATTATTATTTGAAAAGCATAGTATGTTTTTTTTTATAACTAAGGTCTGAAGTTCCCGAAAAACGGTTCTTCGGTTCTTCGGTATTTTTCGGGGAATCGAAAGGAATCGAAGGTTTCGGTTCCTTATCAGAATAGGAATCGAAAAGAGCCGAAGTTATCGGTTTCTTATAAAAAAGGAATCGAAAAGAACCGAAGTTATCGGTTCCTTTCTATAGGAAGTTCCGAAGTTATCGGTTCCGCCATCTATAGGAGTTATTTCAATTTTTTCGATTCTTTTCAATATTTTCAATTATTTTGGTAATTTCGATTCCTATCCCTATAATTATTTAATTTAAATCTTTTTTTATACAGATCTCAGCATCCCATTCAAGCCAAAGCTTATATTAAGGCAAAGAATGACAAGGTAGTGCAACTGGCTGCTGACAGGGAGGAAGTTGAAAAGGAGCTTGATAGATCTTCAAGTTTGAGAGGTTTCTTTCCAGCCACAACCACTAGTAAAAAAAGGCTGGATAACCTTAGTAAAAAGTCTCCACCATCCAGTCAGCAAGGTGATCATGAAAAACTTCAAGTAACTCTGGATGAGTATGTTAAGGTGAGAAAAATATTGAAGTTTTTTAGTAGCTTAAATAATCGTTTTTATAACATTTTACCGTTTTTATTTGTAAATATTCGAATCAAAATCAAGCCCAAATTGGTAAATTGAAAAAAATATTTCTTCAAAAAAAAATTTCTGCATGGGCCATGCAGAAAATTTTTTTTTTCTCAATTTACCAATTCGGGCTTGATTTTGATGAAACTAATGTTAGAAATCTATTTTTATATTAAATTAGAAACTTTTGTGCCTTTTTCCAAATTTATAATATACTTTAAAGTTTAATAACTCTGTAAATTAATAAAAAGTTAAATTTCCACACTAGACAACAATTTAATGATTCCAAATTAATGTCCTTTTTGCTCTAAACTCAATATTAACAAAGTTATTGAGGTTTAAAGTTTTTGATTTGACCTGTCACCTAACACGTGCATGTAGATTTAGTAAACACGTGTTTTTCAAACGTTTCAAAACTTTAAAGGCTTTTAACTTTAAACTTCTTTGTTTTAATAGATAGAGTGATTAGCACTGTCTCTAGAAACTGCAACAACTTACCCATATATATTAGGTTGTCAGGTCTTGTTTAACGTAATTTCGATTCTTTGCGGTAATTTCGATAATTTCGATTCCTTTCGATATTTAACATTTCTTTTATTATTTCAGATAACTAAATGGGATTCACAAAGCAGCTGTCAGCTTGATTTTGATACAGTTCTCACTCTGGCCTGCATCATGTCAAATCTTCCTTTCAATATTGTGGAAACTCCAGGAATGAAGTTGCTCTTGAACTATTTGGCACCAAAAGCAATCATAAAAACACCAAAAACACTTGCTACAACAAAGCTTGACATGATTCATCGTAATGTTGAAAAGGCAATAACCAATCAACTTGAGGAAGAAGTACCAGAATGTGAAAGTGTAGCTTTTACATCAGATGGTTGGACTGCAAAAAATGGTGATCCTTTTGAATCTCTCACACTCCATTACATCAACAGTGATTTTGAGTTGAAAAAGTACAGTTTGGACTGCCAGGCTCATTTAAATAGGAAAACAGGTCCTTTACTTGCCAAAGGATTAGACACTATGATTTCAAAATATGAAGTCTTGGCAAGGCCTGACCTAGAAAGAACATGTGTGACTGATGGTGCAGCTAACATGAAGGCAGCTGTCAGTTTAGCAACTTTATTGGACAAGCAATTGGTGTGTGTTGATCACATGTTGAACAATTGTTTGAAAGACACATTAGGAAATGGTGAGGTTAAGGTAATTGTTGATAAGTGCAAGAGACTTGCTCAAAGGACACATCAAAGCACTAAGGATTGGTATGAAATCAAACAAGAATGTGAATCTCTAGGGTGTAATCCAATCAAGCTAATCCAACCAGTGCAAACAAGATGGAATTCAAATGCAATGCTGTTCAAGTCAGTGTTAAGAAATGAGCAAGGTTTGAAGTCTGTCAGAGATAACAGCCTGAATGCAAACTTGACAATACTTATACCAAGTGATGAAGATTTTCAAGTAATTGCAGAACTTCATCCTTTCTTGGCAAAATGTCAAGAATACTCAGAGATTTGGTCCTCAGATAAAACACCTACAGTTCACAAGATCCAGCAAAACCTCTTTTCATTGATTACTATGTGCCGTAGGACAGTTACACAAAATACTTCAGGTAAAAAATATTTTTTTATGATTCTTTCGATTCTTACTAATAATTTCGATGATTATCAACAAATTATGCAATTATGATTATTTATTCATTTTTCTATTTTCCAGGTTCAAGAATTGCTAAAGATGCAATGACCAGGTTTATAGAATACTTGGAAACTAGGATTCCAGATAAAGGCACTGAAGTTAATGACTTTAATCTTGCAAGTGTGTTTGATCCATTTTATAGAGGTTATTCTATCACATTAATCAAGGGCAACAAAGATCATTTAGATGGAATAATAGACCAACTGGTAGATAATCATCCAACTACCAGAGAATACAATGAGGCTTATGAGGCTTCATTACCTTCTGCAATGCCAAACTTAGATGAAGATATGGATGATTTTGAGAGAATGGCCATGGAAAATGATGGAAATGATGCACCAACTTTGGCAGGACCATCAGAGCCTCCTCTGAAGGTAGATATTCATTTTTATTAATAATAATTTCGATTCTTATAAATATTTCCGATACTTATAAATATTGATTCCTATACACATTTTCGATGCTTATACACATTTTAGATTTTTGCGGTAAATTCAAATTCAAATTTTTTTTTTAGATGGAATTTAAGAGGTACTTGTCTATGCAAAAGCCAGCTAAGGATGTGAAGGTTTTGGAATGGTGGAAGGTCAATCAAAAGGAACTGCCATTACTAGCTGCTATGGCAAGGAAGTACTTGTGTCCACCAGTGACTTCATGCTCTTCAGAAAGGCTATTTTCATTAGGAGGAAATATTATTAGTGATAAAAGACACAATATGAAGCCAGAGACCCTTCAAAAAATAATGTTCATAAAAGAAAACTTTCCACTAGTCAAATCAAAAATAAGGTCCTGGGACAAAAAATGCCCTGGTGAACCAGACTATCAGTCTCAACCTCTACCATCCACCTCTCAAGATCAACCTCTACCATCCACCTCTCAAGGTCAACCTCTATCATCAACTACACAGACTCAACCTCTACCATCACCTTCTCAGACTCAACCTCAACCATCTCCATCTACACTAACCCAATCAACCAAACAGAAAAAAATGAAAAGTTTTTTGAAACCAAATGAATCACAGTCTCAAAGTCTACTACAAAGAGCTAAAAAAAGGAAACTTGTACTTAAATCACCAATGAAAAAATCACCAATGAAAAAAAACCCTATATATGATGCATCTAAAGATTTATTTAATACTGAAGCTAGTGATAGTTCTACTAGCGTAGCTTATAGCAGTGCTAGTAGTAGTCGCAATGGCAGCAAGGACAGTGTCACTGATCTCACTGATAGTGATTTAGAATAAATGTATTTTTCAACTGTATTTCAACTGTATTTTTGAAAATAAAAATTAAAAAAATTCAAGTTTTTCAATTCTTAGTAACAATTTCGATTCTTTGTAGCATTTTCGATTTTTTGCGATATTTCCCGCTAAGAACCGAAATTAGAACCAAAATTTACGGTAATTTCGATTACTGCTTAAAATTAGGAATCGAAAAGAACCGAAGTTATCGGTTCTTATGAGAATCGGAATCAAAATTTACCGTAATAACGATTCTTTCTTAAAATAAGGAATCGAAATTTGCCGTAATAACGATTCTTGCCTAAAATAAGGAATCGAAAAGAACCGAAGTTATCAGTTTCTTTTCAAATTAGGAACCGAAATTTACCGAAGGAACCGTTTTTCGGTAATTCCAGTCTCTATTTATAACCGTGTCAGCTTTGTTTTGTTTGCTTAATTTTCGACACAAAACTTTTAATTTGAACTGCAAAATGTATTTTTTACTTTGTCTACTTTATTTTACGGCATTCTGTTGTTTACAAGTTATATTTTTAATTAATGAAATTTAAGAAGGAAAAAATGAAAGAAAGGTCGTTTTCCACAAGACGAAATTCGCGCGAAGCGAATTTTTTCGCTGTTTTTATTTCCTTTTGCGCTACTTTTTTTTCGTTGTCAAACATAAAAATGGCAGCAGTTTACTCTGTATGTTTAACTAAAAGCTATTATTACTTTTTTAGCATATTTTTTACTTTAAGCATGTGGAAATTTCTTTCCATGAATTAATTTTAACATTTCTGTCTTTGTATGTAAGATGTGATATCGTTTTATAATATAACAGTTTGTATGTAAGATGTGATATCATTTTATAATAATTTAATATGAGGTTTTTTATAAGATAGTATAAGAAAATAAATGCTAAACTCTGATTCTTCTGGTGGGAGTCGTTATTTACAAATGGCGGATTAAATTTATTTATTTATTTATTTAATAACTGTGTACATGTACAATGACTATGTATGGAGCCTAGTTGATCAGGCTTTAACAGCCGATTTATGTTAAAAATAAGTCCAACTTTGATTTAAATTGTTTAAGTGTTTTAAAATCTACAATGTTTTGATCTAAGTTATTCCAACTGTTTATAACACGGTTTGTTAAGAAATAGTACCTCTTTGCATTTTTAGTTAATTGTCTATGAAATCTCATATTGTGACCTCTCGTATTTGAAGCTTTTAAACCTGGTGGGTATTTCAATGTTAAGTTATCTATTTTTTTACTATTTTGTAAAGTTGGATTAGGTCATTACGTTCGCGTCTTTTTTCAAGAGTCGTTAATTTAAAGTAGGTTAATCTACTTTTATAGTTTTTTTCCTTGAAGACATTTTATTCGTGTTGCTTTACGTTGTATCGATTCAATTTTTTTTTTATCTTGTTCTAAGTAAGGATACCACATTGAATTTGCGTAGTCTAGATACGGTCTTACAAGAGAGGTGTACAATAATTTAGATGCGTTTATGTCTAAGTTTTTAAATGAATGTTTTATTATTCCTAACATTTTATTAGCTTTACCAGACACATAATTAACTTGACTCAACCATTTTATGTTGTTTGAAATCATAACTCCTAAATCTTTTTCAATTTTGGTTTCTGGTAGCTCAAATCTCATTTGTAAACGAATATTTTTTCTTAAATGAAGTAAATATATTTTAAATTTAAATACTATTTACGTAAAAGTGTTAAGCAGAATTTCTGCTTTATAACATTAAAATTATAAATTCAAAGAGTTAATATGATACATACTTCCATATGAAGATATTAGAAGGAAAGTATGGTTAAAGGTAATAAATCGTACGCGTTTTGACAAAAATGGAGTAGTTTAACTACTCCATTTTGGTCAACATGCGCACGATTTATTACTTTTAACCATGCTTTCCGACTTATATTTTCATATAAAAGTATGTAAAATCTTAACTCTGTGAATTATTAAAACAAAGTTTTGGGAGACTATAATTTTAATTTGATAACTAAAGTTTTAAACCTAACTTGTTTAGCTAAACAAGTTAGGTTTATACATCATCTAATTATTGTAAATTTTATATTTTTAGCCTCTACACACTAGGTATTTATACTCTGATACACTCCACAATTATGCGACATAGTTTAATAATTGTTAAGTGTATATTTTTTTCAATACACAAACTTTATAGTTTTTTGGTCATTTTAATAAAATATTAAAGAAAACAACGGAACAAATCTGCGTAGAAGTTGTATAAAAAATATATGAACTATAATATATTGCTGTTAATAATAACAACAATATACAACAGTTATATAACAGTATATCATAATCATAATAATTATGATATACTGCGTTAAATAATCTTTTTGATTAAATTAAAACTGTAATTAAAATTGTAATTATATTAAAATCATGTAAATACAAGGATTTTTTAGCAAATTAATAAAATATGTCTTTTTCTTGCAATTCATTTTTAATTTTATTATTGTACGCTTAGTTTTCAATTGTAGATGCGTATTTAAATGACGTATTTAAATGACGTGAACAAATAACTTACAATAATTTGATACTTAGGAAACATTAAGTCTTTTAACAAACATTTTACAATTAAAGTTTTATGTTTTATTTGCTAAATTTTTATTTGCTACATTTTTATTCGCTACATTTTTATTTGCTACATTTTTTTGCTGCATTTTATTTGCTACATTTTTTTGCTACATATTATTTGCTACATTTTTACATCTCTTTTGTCAACGCTTTATATCTCTTCTGTCAATGTCTTAAAACTTTTTTATTTTAATCAGTTTAAAATTTTTTTTATCAGTTTAAGAAAAATACATAAATTTTAAACAGAAAAAAAAAAAATACAAACAGGAATAAAAAAAAAAGTAGTTTTTGGGATATTTTCTTTTTAATTTTTGTTTTCTATTTTGGGTTTAAACTAGTTTATTTGTTTAGTTCTATTTGAAATTACCCTTGAAATACTTTTTCACAATAAACTTAAAAAATAATATTAACAAAGATTTTTTACAGGTTACCAAGTAACCTCCGACCCCAAGAATATGTTAAAAAAACTGTTACTGCAAGAACGAACAGCAGGTTTAACTCCATGTAAGATTTAGATTCTGATGATTTTTGCTGACACAGCTTTTTTTTTAAGACATTTTAAAATTAAATATATTAACAAATACACAACTTAGTCTAATGACATTTTTATTAATTTTTGAAGAATTTAGTAAAAAAGGGGCTCCCTAATGTTACTATTATTTTTTTTGTAATTAGTTAAAATAATGCATTTTTTAATAGATTTTAGTATTTTGTACAGGCAGTAAAATTTTTTTCATTTTTTTTTTTAAACATTATTTTTCATTTCTATTTAGAGTAGGATCCCCAGATCCCCATGGGGACCTCTAACCGTGGTGATGTGGTTATAAATATATGAGCTCATTCAAATGTGTTCATATGTCTGAAATTCGGATGAAAGTTCTCACAATGATTGACTGCTGCTACCAGCTCATTCAAGCTAGAAAGGCAACTATTGATATTGATGGGAAAAATATTGAAGTATTAATCATTCACCTCAAATCTGTTTGGGAGGAGAGGCCAACAATATCAGAAGAAGCCATGTTAACTGCATATACTTAAAAAATTAGATTTGAGTTCCCAATTTACCATAGAGTAAAGCGCAAAGGTTTTGCTAGATTTTGTTTGGTTTTGCTGGGGAGCAAATGAACACATCATAGAATTAACAGAAGCAGAATTAAGAGAGAAGACATTTTGGAGGGCGGTTTTTTATAACACTCTTGATTCTGTGATTTCTGGACTCGCTGCTCGTTTCATAGCCATTTAAGAAATCTTTGTCATATTTCCTTTTTTATAGAATATCAAAAACTGTCTGAAGTAGAAATCAAGAGCTCCCATTTTTTTCAGAAAATGTTTATGAGACGTGACCAGTGCCGGATTTGCTTTGGGCCAAAGCCCGGGACCCCGCATTTAATGAAGAAAGAAATTTTTAAATCTATATTAATAAATAACCCTAAGTTAAAATAAAAAAAGGATTTTAACTTTAGCTTGACACTGATTAGTTGGTTACTTGTATTTGCGTTAGCAGCTCAACACTGGGTGTTGAATTTAGGTTGGTCATTCATTTTTGTGAAGAGTTGGTGTTAATTGTGTGCTAGAGGAAATAGTTTTTTGAAACGAAAGGAGATCACCAACCGAGAAATTTGTAACATTTATTGCATTTATTGTTCAAGTGCAGTGATTTTTTTATTTTTACTAAAGATATGTATGTTTATTTTACCAGTTTCACACGCTACTATATGATATCAAGTAACGTTTTAAAAGGAGAGATAGCAGCTGTGCATTTGTACCTAAAAGAATCATTTCAACACATTGATTTCGCTGAGCAGATACCAAAAAGGCTTTTGCGTACGGTTATTTACAGATTCACATTAAATATGTGAATCCATAAACTTGTTAATGAAAAATCTAGCTAAAGTATGCTGCATTTATGTATACATAAAGACCCTGAGCCTGTACGCTTATGCTGCATCTGGAAACTAGAATATATACAGTATTCTTTCATAACATCTAAAAAAAAAAGCAGATAAAACTAAAAATGCACTTTAAAGTTTAAAACTACACTTAAATAACATGGTGGCTAGCATACAATCACTACCAAAGTTTGTCATTTCAAAGTGTGAATATTTTGAAGAAAATGAGCTTAGGGTCTAATCCTGATCTGTTTAACTTAAGCAGATCAGAATTAGACCCTAAAGTGAGTAAATCGCATAACATGCTCATCATAATATTAGTTTGAAGTATTCTATGATTTAATGCAATTGTCGTATAGATGAATAAAAATTACCAATTTTATAAATAAATTACTATTTCCCACTCAATTGGGATAACTTTGCACAATGTACAAAATAACAACAAATTTCTTTATTAATCATCTAAAAAAATACTTTTTAAAAGTTGAATATATAATATAAATTGTAAATAAAATCAAAGTTATTATATTTATTTTAAATATTTTCATCAATTTTTTGGTAAATAAAAATAACATTCATGTTTTTTCCAGATGTCAATTTGTTACAAAGCCAGAAAATATAAAGACTATAACAAATAATGACCAATCCAAATGTCTTGAAGATGTAAAATGTAAAAAATTGACACAAAAACAAGCTGCTGCTAAGTATGGCATTAGTCAAAAAACAGTATGCAACTAAATCAGGTTCAGGAAAGTCTAAAGTCTTTCTTGGGCCTGAGTTTAGTTAACTCAATTTTTAGTTTAGTTAACTCAATTTTTACAATGACATCCACAGCTTACAAATAAATTTGTCCAAAACTTAAATAAATCTTTAGCAATGTTAAATGAAGAAATTTTAAAAGATTATATTCAACAATTATCCAAAACTGTGAAAAATGTACCTCCAGGTAACATATATAATTACAATGAAACAAATTTTTGACCCAGGTTCAAAAAAATGCTTGGTAAAGAGAGGTAATAAATACAAATATAAGAACACTTATAAAAACAAATATAAGAAACACTTCTAAGACAAGTATTTCCATTATGATATCAGGTAATACTGCAGATGAAGTTCCACCACCTTTTTTAGTTTATAAGGCTATCAATATGTGGTCAACTTGGTGTGTACGAGGTCCTAAAGGAGTCAGATACTTCAACAATCAAGTGGTTGGTTTGACGGAGCAGCTTTTGAAGAGTGGTTTTTTTCAAAAATTTACTTTCTTTAAAAAAAAATTATGAGTTAAAGTTTTGTTAGGCGATAACTTATCCTATCATATTGCTCCAAAAATAATTAATGCCTGTGAAAAAAATAAAATACTATTTGCTTGCCTACCACCTAATAGCTCGCATATAACTCGACCTCTAGATGTGACTTTCTTAAAAAAACCTTTAAAAAACGAAAAAAAAAAGCATTCTGTTCTTGCATTGAAAAGTGTTGGCACAGAAGATTTGAAAAATTTGATAAGAGTTTTAATATTGGCTCAAAGATGCAAAGAAAAAAAAAACAGAACAAAAACATGAAGAGCAAAAAGTCAAAAGTTCAATCTGAAGAAGATCCGAAAGAATGCCATGATTACAGTTCTAGCTCAAAATCATTGAGTAGTATTGAAAATAAACTTGTCAAGAAAAAGAATAAGAATGAGAAACCATGCTCAGAAAATTTCAAACTTGTGAACTTTTTCCTGGACAAATTACAAATGTCAAGGAAAACAGTGCTTATTATTGCCAATAGTAAAAATATTTTTTCTGACACACAAGAAGATTTTTATGAATGGGACAATATTTGTTTTACATCAAAGAACCTTAAAAAATAACTAGAGAACTTTACAAAGTACTTCTGTTAGACTTTCATTCTCTTAAAGTTTCTTTAGTTAGCTTTTATTTTTTATTTAAAAGATATATAATTGCCTACATTAAAAGAAACTTTATGTTTTTAGTTTTTAACATGGCTGTGTTTTTTTTATCATGTTAAATTCTTTATTAATCAAAACAATAGTAAATCTGACTTTATTTTTTTTATTTATATTTATTTGTCTTTAAACTCTTGTTAGAATTTCCTTTAAAAAGTAAATCTTATTTTATTTTTTTATTTATATTTATTCGTCTTTAAACTCTCGTTAGAATTTAAAAAGTATGATAAAAAGAGTTTAAATAGCAATTCATATAAAATTTATATAAACGGAAAAATTTTTTTCAAATTTTAAAAGGCTGTGCAAAGTTAGCCAAAACCCTGGTTAACTTAGGACATAATTTAAGCACCCTGGAAAATTACTTTATAAATGGTTAAAAAAAATATTATAATAATTAAAATAGTCTAAAGAAAATTTTTGGCAAGTTTTTATAAATATTAGAGAAGTTTAAAGCCAATTTTAAAAAACACAAAGCAAAAAATTTCAAATTTTTTGCGCAAAGTTACCCAAAGGTACGGTATATCATTTATTTTTATCTTCTTCTCGATGTTAGTGAAAAGACTTAACACTCAATTCTGGGAGTGTAAAGTCAGCCGATAACAAGATGGCTGCAACTTAAAAAAACAACTTAGATTTGCTCATTTATGGTTTACTTTTGTTTCAAGAAAAATGGCACTATTCAAATGTAACAAACTGACAATATTCCTGGAAGTGAAACACTATTTTTGAATTCATACTTTGTGTCATTTATTTATGCAGTTTTATTGTTAATAAAATTTCATTTATTAAATCATTTATTAAACCACTAATCCATGTAATGCATTATCAGTTATCCTGAAAGAGATATGACCTTATTATAAAATTTAGCGCAGGCCCCTACAATGGTAAATCCGGCCCTGGACTTGACTGTAAACGAACTGAATAAAGGTTTGCTTCCGAAAACTTTAGAGTAAAATATCTTTCCCCCATTCATTTAAACAATGTTTTTGAAATGAAACTTGGTGAATTTTTCAGAAATATAGTGATTACAGAGCGTATTTTTGCTTCAACTCCAGTGACAGTGGCCTTAAGTGAGCGTTAACCAGTAAATTGAAACTCATTAAAAACTTTTTGTGCTCAACTATGGAACAAAAACGAACCAGTGTTCTTACCATTATGAGTATTGAGCACTACTAGCACGAAATCTTGATTTCCATGATGTGATTGAACAGTTTGCAAAACAAAAGACAAGAAAAATAACATTATAAGAAACAAAAGCAGAGCAACTTGATTATACTTATATACCAGTAATATAATCAAAAAACTTAAGCAGCTTTTTCTTTTTCTTTTTTTTTTATAACAGAGAGAGAAGGGGAGGGGTGGAGGAGGCCCTCAGGGCTCTCGAATCCTGTGCACGGCCCTGTTTCTATTTTTTTTAGGATTTTTTTAGCCATTTTGTATTCCATGAAAATTTTAAATGTTTCCTTTTTTTTTCTTTTTCTTGTATTTTAAAGTGTTTGTTATTGCGCACAAGGAAAGTCTTAATAAATATTTTGTGAAGCCAAGATTTGATTACTGATAATCGTTTTTGATTTTTAAACTGACGAATAAAAAGCTCTTAATTGTTGTAAATTGATTGAAATGATCATTGTAATAAAGTGGTTTAAATAATAACTTTTTTAGAGAAATTAGTTTGTCAGTATCTATGGCAGTAATTGAAGTCAGTGTCACTCCGGTAAGTTTGTTTATTATTGTAAATTTACCGTGCTTTGAAACGATATTTTTGTTTGTCGTGTTCATTGTGCTTCAAACAATCTTAGAGTAAAGACAAATTTAGTTTTAAGGTAGTATTCTATCCATTTTTTTTTCCACGTCTTATCCTAGTTTTTTTTGAAACCTTTGTTTCCTACTTTCAGATGCCTACGACCAACTAGGGTCTCAATGACAAGTAAAGCAACCACTTGAAAAATCAATAAATCAATAAGTTAATCTTTTTCAACAAAATCTACTTTGTTTTTACAATTTTAGAAAAAAAAAATTAATTTTTAGTTGCAAATTAAATTGTTTTTAAATAACCACATCATACCTTTAACTCTTAAAATTGTTTGATTGGTATTTACTTGATAAGGAGAATTTAACATAAAGAAGCTGCTTTACAATCTTAAGTAGCTACTGTTACTATATTTGTTGTTACTATTAGCTACTGTTGCTCAATAATTTTTTGTTATTAACAAGTAATTTTATTAGGGAGGGTGGCCTATCTATCTTTTGCCGAATAAGACTATAAAAAAACTTTTTTGCCGACTAAGATTAAAAAAAAAAAAAGTTCACGTTAACTGACATTTGCCGACAACCAACTATAGATCAAATTTTGCTGACTTCAGTAAAATTTAGTCGGGGGGCTTGACACCCCTATGCTCCCTCTCCCCCTCAGGACGCCCCTGTTAATGCATAAGTATATAAGTTTGTTAGTATGAGTTAGTATCATAAGTTTTGTAACAAGTTATGTTAATACATAAATTTTATTATCTAAATTAATAAAATTTTACTTTAGCAAAAGCCATCATATTTTTTATTCTTGAAGTAAGAATATACATAATCCTTTGAATATCTTTAATATAAATTATAAAAGATTAGCTACAAACAATAATGACTACGGGATAAACCCTAGTTTTCTCTAAAGATTTTTACCAAAGAACCTTGGGTAAGAAGTTGTATATTACCGAAATACGTTAACCGTTAAATGAAGTAAAGTATTAAGAAGTGGTAAGTTAAGCTAGTCGAATTTTTTTTTTTTTTTTAAAAAAAGGTCTCTATTAACTGAGCATTGTAAAAAGAAATAGTTACGTGGAGATTTTTTCTTGTCATTCACACTAATTACGTTTTTATAGCTGGAAAGAAATTCAAGCTAAAGACTTTTTGTCCAGGCCTCCAACCGTCCATATAAACCTTTTTGAAACTATTTGAATTAATACGTTTAGGAATACCTTATTTTTTTCCGTTGATTCATAAGAAAACTGTCGCGTATCTTGAAAACCATCCATGCGAGAACTGAATAAAATAAATTATAAGTACGACACAAAATACAAAATTTTTCAACATTTAACAAAACTTTGAAAAAATATTATTTAAAATACATTTAAAAAACATGCTTTCACTTTTACAGCAACATTTAAACGCATCGGATGACTTTTTACGAGTATGTGTGATGAGTAACCCAGTGGAATTTGCGTAAACTTACATACAAAACTAATCTCTATATCAAAATAATAACTTTAGATGTAAATAAAGAAATGATTAATGAAATAATGTAAATAAAAAAATGGTTACTGGAATGATGTAAATAAAGAAATGGTTACTGAAATAAAGTAAATATAGAAATTACAGGAATAATTATTTTGAATAAGTAAAGCCAAAAATAAAGTCAAATTTTAAATTAAAAACAAATCTATAAGTAAAAAAATAACAATCAGCGAAAATTAAAAATAACTTAAACAGACCTTTGTTGTTTTATTTTTTTGATCCATATTTTCATTCCTTCTTCAAACACATTTTGATTGATGTAAGGATTAATTCTTTTTTCGTCCAAAATGTCTTCTAAATCAATTAAATAGGGCAAAACCTAAAATGAAATCTTAAATCTTATTTATGTCATAGTAAATCTTAAAATGTTTTAATGTTAAAAATAAAAATACTTTAAAAAGTAGTTACCTTACTTCCTGCTGCTTTCTCTTTCAGAATTAAAATAAGTGTTGACACTTTGACATAACCAATATTTTGCGTATCACAGCATTTATGAATTCCAATTAAAATATCCAAGATTTCAGATTTTAGGTCTTCCATCTTGTAGAGAGAAGCCTGATACATAATATACATTATAAAATATGTAGTAGTAGTAGTAGTAGTAGTAGTAGTAGTAGTAGTAGTAGTAGTAGTAGTAGTAGTAGTAGTAGTAGTATTAGTAGTAGTAGTAGTAGTAGTAGTAGTAATTGTAGTAGTAGTAGTAGTAATAGTAGTAGTAGTAGTAGTAGTAGTAGTAGTAGTAGTAGTAGTAGTAGTAGTAGTAGTAGTAGTAGTAGTAGTAGTAGTAGTAGTAGTAGTAGTAGTAGTAGTAGTAGTAGTAACAGTGGTAGTAGTAGTAACAGTGGTAGTAGTAGTAGTAGTTACAACGATCAAGAATAAAAAATAGCAGTAGTTACAACAAGCAAGAATAAAAAATTTGATAGCTTCCATAAAGAATAGTTATTAATCCTAGCTCCACTATAAGTTTTGAATTAAGGATAAAAAAACAAACATTTACTATGTTTCAGTTTGAAAATAAATCACATTTTACATTCAAATGACCTACAAATACTCACAAACATAAAAGATTGTTTGCACTTTTGGAAGTTATTTATTGAACACCAAAAACAGATACCTTATTCCTGCATGCAACCTTTTGTTATAAACTTTTGTAAAAATTCTTTTTGTTTAATAATATTTTTATAGCAGTTAACTAAAAGCCAAAAAAACTGGGACACAAGCTGCAAAAAGAGTTGACACACAAACTGCAAAAAAAAATGGACACGCAACCTGCATTTTTTACAAATTTAAAACTTTACAGGCAAAAGCTTATTTGTTGTTTTTTATTTGAATGAATACAAATTCTCGAGTAGAGTTTTTTGCTTATAAAATTAAAATGTGTTTTTAGGTTGTTTTATGGCAATCATGAAGAGTTTTAAAATTTTTTACTTCATGTAAAAATTTTTACTTCATGTTTAAAAAAAACTTTAAATCAAAGTAAGTTAAACAAGTGACCAAAGAAATCCGAATTTAAACAAGAGGCCAAAGTGAGAAATGCGAAAGTCTTTGTAAAACAAGGAGTTAACATGCTGGTAAAACTGTATGGGAGCGTAAACTGAGCTGGTTAAATTTATCAATTAAATCAATTCTTCTAAAGGTCTTTTTATCAAATTTGCAGATTTTATCAAATATACAGATTTTTATCAAATTTGCAGATTTATTCATCTTATCCTATAGAGGTAAAAAATATAATAATACATTAGAAGAACAAGTGTCGCTTCTGCATGGTTAATAAGTATTTACAAGTTATTTCAGTACGCATCAAAAACAATTTAAAAAACAATTTGATTAAAAATTGTCTATGAGGAATTTTTTTTATTATTATTAATTAAGCATTTACAAATAGTCAAATCTTTTGATTTTTTTTCTTTTTAAATTAAAAAAAAAATACCTCAAATTCATTCCTAATTATTTTGTGATTTCCAAGAGCAGAAAGATTCAAGTCGATCTTTACAAGTAAAATTGGCAATTCGTTAAAAAGTAATTTACTACAATATAATTATTGACTTAAAAGACATTATCAATATATTTTAATTAAAAAAAAAAAATTAAAAAACTTAACATCGATAAATCTTAATACCAAAAGTTATATAGAATTTAAAACATTTTATCGAAAGTATTAACGAGTAATTTGATAAACAAAATAACATGCTGTTCTGTATATTATTAAACACATGGATAATTTTGGTGTTGCTAAAACTTTTTTACATTCAAGTTAATCCATTTCAAATTAATTTTTTTTTTTAATATTCTATTAACAAGAGTCGTGTTTATAATGCTTGCTTCGAAACGCAATTATGTTTTTTATTATAAAGAAAAAATGTTTGATCGGAATAGTACATTATTTCATTTATTAACTTCTTTAAACTATTTATTAACTTCTTTAAATCATATAAACTATATATCCTTAAATCTAATAAAAAAACATTTTTGTATTATTATTTTTTATATAATTGTTTCATACAAAAAGTAATAAGCGTTCGTTGTGCTTCCTACCTACTGTTAAATTTTTTAACCCATTTTTTATAAAAAGTACGAATAATACAAAACTTAAAGATATATGTTTAAATGCCAATATTAGGGAGGTCGACGCATTAATTTTTTTATTTTTATTTAAGTTTAAATTTGTTTTCTATTTTTATTATTATAAATCATAGTAAATGTCATACTTTAGTTTATTTTCAATGGCATAATAACTAAATATTATAAGCATATTTATTTTTTGAGTGTTAGTTACATACTTTGTTTATAACGGTTCACATAAAGTTTAAACACAGAGGCGATTTTACAAATAAAATGATAAGGAAGGAGACGGTTATAAAAGGTTTCCTTGTATTTTTTACTTATAACCTATAGTTTATCGCAGCTTTATCTACTTCAAACTCAAACTTATATCTAAATCAATATATAAAAACTATATGGAAATATGGAAAAATTTATAAAGCTGTACTTTAGTATTTTTATTTAGTTATAATCTCGGTACTATGAAGATTGTTTGAAATTTCTGCATCGAGCAGAGCTTTGAGTCTATAAACAGATATGGCGCATATAATCTTTAATAATTATGCGTTCCAATGACCCACTACTCGGTTTGTGAAAAACTGTTTCCTTTGGTCAAAATTTTGTGCGAGTTTTTTCGTCATTTTTAGAGAATGTCCTCTAGTTTTTATTGGATTTGACACAACACAAAGAACACGGGGTTCACTCCGTCAGACAATGTCTATCTTGTTAAAAATTTGATACGTTTGTATCAGATTTTCTTTGATTCGATGAGCCTCTAAAGTAGTTAAGTTTAGTAGACTCAGACAATCTATGACAGTTGACGGTATAAAGGTATTAAACAGGTTTTTGTTCTTTCTCAGTTTTATCAATCTCGAATTATATTAAATAACCCCACGAATTCTAAAGTGACTGATATAAATATAATCATTTTAACATTAAAATGATCATTTTAACATTAAAATGATCATTTTAACATTAAAATGATCATTTTAACATTAATATGATCATTTTAACATTAAAATGATCATTTTAACATTAAAATGATCATTTTAACATTAAAATGATCATTTTAACATTAAAATGATCATTTTAACATTAAAATGATCATTTTAACATTAAAATGATCATTTTAAAAATCTATGTTTATTATACATAAAAACATCATGTTTATTATACAGGGGCGGATCCAGGATTTTTTGGTGCTTGAGTTAAATAACTTTCAGGTAAGTTCTAAACTCCAAACTTTTTTATGCTCATACTTATGTCATTTAAAAATGCTTTGCCGAAAATTGCGTTGATTAGGGCCTGGGAACAAAAATACTCTAAATAGTAGGCATCACTCGTCCAAATGAGAGGGGAAATGATTTTTCGAAAGAAAAAAAGTCACTTCCTTTATTAAAATTCAAATGTGTATCTATATTTAAAGTTTAATCAAAAAATCATCTAGCATTCAAAAGTTATAGCCATTTAAAGTTCAGAACCACTTCAAAACGAGGGGGTCGTAAATTTAAACTGGCTATAATTTCTAAACAACATAATATTTCTCAAAAAAAATTAGTGCCTCAACGATATTACCACCTAATCTAGGATATTAGAATTTATATTTAGAAAAACCGATTCTGCCCTACATTTGGACGGGTGATGCTTACTTTTTAGGGTATTTTTGTTCCTAGGCTGAATTTAGCGCAATTTTTGGCAAACCATACTTAAATGACTAAAGTATGAAAATATAGAATTTTGGAGTTTCGAACCTACCTGGAAGTTATATAAAATTCCTGAAGTTATATAAAAATCCTGTTATCCTGAAGTTATATAAAATCCTGAAGTTATATAAAAATCCTGGATCCGCCCCTGCTATATTAAAACTAAATTTTATTTTGATTTTGTGCGTATTTTTATTTAAATGTGCAGCTTCAACCACTTCTTTGTGTTTAAGGAATGATTTTTTAATTTTAGTATAGCGTTGAGAAATTTAAAAATTCAAAATTTTTATTTTGAACGTATGATATTACACTATATTAACGTTTAAGCAGTCGATTACATTTGCCAGTCGCTTAAACAGTCGATTACGTTTGTTAATTGCTTAAGCAGTCGATTACATTTATCAGTCTGTGACGTTGAACGTTAACGTTCAACGAGTGCGTTAATGCCGAAATTAAAACAAAACACTGGAACAGTTTCAGTAAATTTGAAGCTAACTATTTCTTAAAAAAGTACGTCGGCTTTTTAAGGGATAAAATGCTCTGCAGATAAAGATAATCATGAGGTGAAAATCTCATTAAAAAGTTTTATCGTAGTTGCCAGAGTAATAATAACTTGAAATTCGTCATTTCTTCTAAAGCTGAAAAATTATTGTGATCCATTAAATTGAAATAACTTAGCGTCTCATATACTGAATTGGTGAAGTTATTCACGAATTTTTTCTTTGTCTTTTGCAAGTTCATTTTGTTTATGCAAAAAAAGGCTCCAAAATAATCTTGTGAAAGTCATCAGATACAAGAGAAATTAAATACAGTTTAAAATAGGCGAAAGACCGCTTTAAACAAACTTAACCAGCGTGTTTTGCAAAACTTGGCTGAACTTCAACACAAAACTAGAAAAATGATTTTAAAAATTCATCAAAATCTTTCACCACAATTTAACGTTTCAATTTAATTTTACATTTGTGCAATACTAAGCATTTACTACTAAGCAATATACAAGATCATGGATGATTATTAGTCTTGGTGTATTTGCACAATCCCATATTTCGTTTTAAAGAGTTTAAAATCTTACCTTTAATTTTATGTAATTAAAATAAACCGGAAATTTGCAAAAATTCCAACAACAACATAAAGATGATCTTCAGTTATTGATTTTTGAAATTTTTTCTCGATAGCGGAAATATTGAAAATTTTTTGGTTAATTAAGAGTTTTTATGAATTTTTTGAACGTATTGTTAATATCAATGCCAAAAAACTGGTACTTGCGTTTCAACATACATCGACAATGAGTGGTTAGAATACTCTAATGAAATTTACAAAAGGTTGGGCGAAATGATCATTTTTTTATTGGTTGCGTGACTAAATCAAACAAAGATTTCTTATTAAGCATTTCTATGCAAAACTGTTCTATGCAAAGTCATCAAGACGCTTCATCGGCAGAGTAGAAATCAAATCCTTCTATGAAATTCGTGGCGAAACTATTAAGTTTCAACAAACGGATAAATGATGTAATATGTTACTCTCACAAACTTAGGATGTGAGGTCAGGATTTTTATTTATTGCTCAGTCGTTCTAAAAAAGGTCAAGATTTTAGTGTTCACAATTGTGTAAAGTAAAGTACTTACTATAAAATGTTAATAAAATATTCATAACAAAATAATACAGTAATAAACAATAAAAATATACAATTAAAAAAATATATTGATTTTACGGCTGCTTTACATGTTTGAAAAACCACAAAAAAAAAAAAAAAAAAAAAAACTGTTCTAATTCAAAACTTTTATGTGATTTATCTTAATAAAAGAACGCCATTCGCGATAGAATAAGTTTCTCACGGAGTTAAAATCTTTGAAAAGATTTCAACTCTGTTGAAATCTATTCAAAATTTGTTTGACGAAATGTTTTGCCTGTTTGTTGAGTCATTAAATAAAAACAACAAAGAAACATTGATTGTTGAATGTTGAACATTGATGGAGAATCTGCTTGAAACTATAATGCAAGTTTAATTAAGTCTAATATATGTGTGCAAATAACTTTAATATGTGTGCAAATAACTCTGATATGTGTGTAAATAGGTTAGGTTAGGTTAGGTTTATTCATACATGGTCAAAAATAAATTCACATATTTTTTTTTGACAAAAAGCGGCACACCAGGCCTCTCTGTTATGAAAATACAGTTTTTCAATTTCAGCTTAAGTGAAGATGACGTAGCAGAAAAAGATCGTGTTTGAATTTGTTCAAGTTCTTTGCGTCCACCGCATTTTGGGTTAAAGAACTCCATAATCTTACAACACAGTTGGTGAAGAAGTTGCTTCTTTCAGAGCTGTTTCGGACAAGTTGTGCTCTTAGTTCTTTAGTGTGTCCACGCGACCGAAAACTGTACTTTGAAGATTCCGTGTTAGGTTGAAGTTGAGGGACGTGAAAGTTAACTTTATCAATTTTGCTTATGATTTTATATTGTTCTATAAAGTCTCCTTTTTCTCGTCGTTCAGTTAGTGTTGTCAGGTTAAGGCTTGATAGTCTTTGAGTATACGAAAAGTGTTGAACGGAGGCAATATGTTTTGTGGCTCGGTGTTGAACTTGCTCGGTGTTGAAAGTTTGTCAAGTCTTGAGCTAAAAACGGTGACCAGGCCTGTACTTCAAATTTTAGGTGTGGGTAAACCTACGAAAGATACAGTGTGCATTATAATACAGAACATCGACCTAAAAAAGCCTTCTTGACCTGCCAAGCATTCGTTTGCCAGCTGATGCAGCCGCACAGACTTTTTAACTTTTAGATTGCTCGTTATAAAAACACCTAGGTTTCGTTCAGATGACGTGTATGATAGCTGGTGTAATTGGCCATCTACGTTAATCATTGTATAAATTGCTGTGATTTTTTTTACAAGTTTTGAGTAGGTTTGTGATGCAACCATTTCCTTTTCGGAACCCATTTTGAGTAGAACTGATGAGTTTATTTTTGTTTAAGTGGTCAGTAATTTGTTTGTGTAAAAAGCTTTCCATTATATTGCAAGAGACAGAAGTGCGTGAGAAAAGGTCGATAGCTTAAGAAGTTCAACTTGCAGCCTTTTTTTAAAATAGGAGTAATTTCAGCTTTTTTCGACTGAGACAGTACTTCTTTCACTTTAAGCGATTTAGAAAAAATAATGCTCAGTGGGATAGCAAAACCTGCAGCACAATATTTCAGGACGCGTGGGTGAATACCGTCGAAGCCCATTGATTTGGATTTGTTCAGGTCCAAAAGTTTTTCTTTGTCGAATTCGTATGATGCGAGTGTAGTTGGTTGGTTCGATTTCGAAAACTGATTGGAAATATTCGTTAAGAGTGTTGCAGATTACTTTAGGATCTGTTGTAGTTTGATTATTAGTTATTTCAAGTTGACGGATGCGATCGTGTGTTTCATGTTTGCTTTTGACGTACGAGGGGATTATTTTTGTGTCATATCTGTTATTGTTTACCAGTTCCATTTCGTAATCCAGAACGGCTGTTTTAACTAATTTTCCTACTGCTTTGCTTGCTTTTTTATGTTGTTCGCGTAGAGTTGGCTTGTTTGTTCGGCTGGCTGCGATAAATTTGCCCCAGAGTTCGCTTTTCAATTTGATAGCATTTGCAACATCTTTGGTCACCCATATCTTGTATTTGTTAGTATAAGGGTTGGTTGTTGATGGGACGTGTAATGAGGTTGCTTTGTTAAATTTGTTGATAAATATGTGATATTTTTCGGAAATGTTCAAGCCGTTGAAAGCTTAATGCCAGTCGAATGTTTCGGTATGCGTAGAGATTAAGTTGTAGTCGGCTTTGCTCCAGATCAGACACTTCTTGTAGAGGTTAGAGGAATCAGTTATTTTGGGTTCTTTAGTTTTTAGATCAATGAGATACAATGAGATACAACTTCTCTCACTAAGACAGTGTGCTTGACCTTTGGTTGTGTGGCCGAGAGGATTAGTTTCTTTTATATTCATTATTCGGTCTGGTTTGTTGGTCAGGTTCAAGTCAAGAGTAGTTTTTGGAAGTTCCTCGCGAGTACTGCAATATGTAGAAAAAGTTATTAACTTATTAGTTATTTGGCCAATCGTTTTGTACGTATGCAACAGTCGTGATGCCACCTCTTACGTCGACATTTGAATACACAGTATTACTGAAGTTGAAGTCGCCATACGCAAATAAGGTTGAGCAGCCAATTGAGTAGCATTTGTCAGAGGCATTACTAATTGAGCTTATTATTTCATCGAGCGTTAAGTCGTTCAGGTTGTGAGGACGGTAGAGACAGCCTATTAAAATTTATCGTCGTCGTGAAATTTTAATTTGATCCAGACTTGCTCAATAGTGGTGCGGTTGAGTTGGTCTACAAGTCGATAAAATAACAGAAGTACTCATTTAAATGGTTAGAAATTATATTAATATTGATTTTGTGCAGGTTCGTATTTGTAGAAAAATTACTTGTTATTTGGAATAATGCATACTGCATCCTAAAGGCCATTGGTTTTGACAAATACCCATATTTATCAATGATTGAATTTAAATTGGAAAAATTAGCTGACAACCTATAATAAACATAACTCTTTATCATTTGGAAACTTGTAATCTTTGAATAATTTTTTAAGTACTATTATAGTTTCCATGACAATTTCCTTTTGAGTATTTTTCAGAAATTTCTCAAATGATCATACAAGTTTAATAAAGTTTTTTTGATGAAAAAAAACTTAATTTATGGTAATGGTACAGTTGTTTGTACCTTAATAGTATTTTCAAACCTTATCAAAATTATTTCAAATCTTCACAAAAATTGTTCAAATGATTTAAACCATATAAAACTCGAATATCATAAAGCAGATCAAAAAACATTTGAACCAATAAATGCGTATCACCGTAAAAACTCAAAGATATATTAACATTAGAAGTGGGTTTACCCGTTGTCCCAAGTTAGTTGAAACTTTGAATCAGTTATTTACATTCATAACTGAAATAATAGCGCATACTTTAATTTGTATCGAAATTATTTTTTGATGCTTTTTTTAAATGTTGTTTGTATATGATTTAATTATACTTATAAACAATAAAATAAATAACATTGCTATTTTCTATTTCGGGTTGTTCTTATGGACAGTGAAAAAGCTAATGATATAGCTATTGTACTACATAATATGGTAAAAAATTTTAAAGTATTAGAGAATGTTATTTTTGTGTGAACTGAAACAACAGTTTCAAATACAGGAAAGAAATCAAGAGCAATCAAAAGCAGTCAGAGTTTTTGGAACACCGGTGTTCTGGGTCTTGTATCGGTACCATTTTGCTGAGATTCATATAAAATGGGGCATTAAAGCTTTTCTTAAAAAACAAACTGTAGGACCTTAGTTGTTAGTCTTTGGCCTTGGTCTTGGCCTTGGCCTGGCCTTAAAGCCGAAAATTTAGGTCTTGACCTTGAAATTGTTGGCCTTGGCCTTGGTCTTGAAAATTTTGGCTAGAGCCTTAATTGTTTTGGTCTTAATTGTTTTGGTCTTAAAAAAATACATATTTTTATTGATTTTGTTGAATTCTGCACATAACCTTCGTCAATTTTTACAAAATGTGGTTTTATTTTTACAATATTTGCTACTTACAGCTTTTAGAAGAATTGGCCTTAACGTATTGCAAAAATTGATGTCCAAAGTCTTAAAAAAATTTTGCGTACGTCTTGGCCTTGAAACTCCTAATCTTGGCCTTGACCTCAAAATTCTTGGCCTTGGCCTTGTTCTTGGCCTTGTAACTTTTGGCCTTGGTCTTAGCCTTAGCGTTATAACTTTTGGCCTTGGCCTTGCTATTTTTGGACTTGTTAACAACTCTGGTTATTACCCAATCGTTAGTAAAGCAGAAAAGTTTTAACGGAATTTTCAGTGCTGAAAGTGAACTGGTTATTGGAAGTGATCTTCACGATTTATATCTTAAGTCTAAAAAATTTATTGTCTAAGTATTTGAGCATAATTTCCATTTAAGAATTGATTATAATCACTTGGTAGAACCCTTGCATTCTATATGAATGTCAAGTCAAAGCTTAAAACGTTTATTTGTATCAAATCTGGCATTATGGCTAGCCGGTGCTAACCATAATGCCAGGTTTATGCGTGTCAAGCATCTATACGACACAAATTATTTTATTGTTGCCCGATACTTTGCTAATTAATTTCCCAAATCTACCAAAACTGATCAAGCAGTGGTAATATAACAAATAATTATGCAGAAACAAAACATGGTCTTAACCATGAACTTGCTGATACATTCCTCAATGAAGATTAAATCCATAATATTGGGTTGGCAGCTAAGTAATTGCGGGGTTTTTTTTTGTAAATAAAAGACAATTTTTTCATGGAACGAAATAACTTTTTTCTGTAATGTATTGCTCATTTTGAGCAATAACCTTTTGTCACCTTTTAGGCAGTATTATAATTTCATGTTAATAAAACATTTGGTTTCATCAGCAAAAAACTGGACCAGGTAGGATTTGACATCATCATCATTAAAATTTTTGCCATTTAAGGAATTTTTCAAAGATCGAAATAAAAAGTAATCAGATGGTGCAAGGTCAGGGCTATATGGTAGATGTGCCAAAACATCTCAATCAAGCTCCAATAATGTTTACAGCGTGACCGAAGACCAAACTAGTGAAAATAGATCATTTTTCATTACGTTTCTTTAAAAAATCACAGATGTTGATGCGTTGTGTTAAATGATTTTCTTTCAGTTTATGAGCAACCCATATATTTGGATTTCAAAAAGATAATTCAACAAACCATGCTGTAATCGAACTAATTAATCATGTATCGGATGCATTCAATAATGACTATTTTACTCTTGGAGTTTTTATTGATCTGTCGAAAACCTTTGACACTGTTAACCATAAGATACTAATAAAAAAACTAGAACTATATGAAATAAAGAATAAAAATTTACTTTGGTTTGAAGACTACCTAGCGAACAGGTCCCAATGTATTATTTATAATAAAAAAGAAAAAGAAAAACATATTACATGTGGTGTGCCATAAGGTTCAATCTTAGGGCCTTTATTATTTTTATTGTATATAAATGATTTATGCTTAGCATCAAATATTTTAAATGTTATATTGTTTGCAGATGACTCTAATCTTTTTTATTCCAACAAAGATATAAAAGCTCTCTTTAATATATTTAATGAAGAACTATTCAAAATAAACGATTGGTTTACAAGCAGTAGGCTTTCGTTAAATGTAGAAAAAACTAAATTTATTTTATTTTCCAAACTTAGTAAAGGTTATGATGTTCCTCTAAAATTACCCAATCTCCTAATCAATAAAATATTTATTAAAAGGGAACTAATCATTAATTTTTTAGGAGTAATAATAGATGAAAATTTGTCATGGAAACCACATATAAAATATATAGAAAATAAAATATCAAGAAATATTTATATATCATATAAAACTTAACCATATCTTAACACCTCTTCTCTAAAAAAATATATACTTTTCATTTATTCATAGTTTTATCTCTTACTGCAATATTGTATGGGGTAGTACTAACTATGGTAAGTTGAAAAAACTTCATAGTAAGCAAAAACATGCATGCAGGATTATATTTGGTGCCCACAGAACTTTTTAATGTGAACCACTTTTAAGGAAGCTCGGTACCCAAGTGTCTATAAACTTAATATACACCAAGTTCTACAATTCATGTTTAAAACTAAACATGAACTCTCTCCTATTGTATTTCAGCCTTACTTTAGTGAAATCTCGCACAAGTATCCTACTAAATTTTCAATTAATAACTTTATTGTTCCAAAAACTAATTCAAAACTAAATTCTTACAAAATCCAATACCGCGGACCGTTTCTATGGAAACATTTTTCAAAATTTATCACAAAAAATAATAATGTTCAACACATCTCTTTGGACAACAACAAAAAGACTTTGATTTAAAATATCTCTTTTAAAAATAATACACAAATAATATAAATTATCTAAAAAAATAGTTATTGACACTACTTCTCTTTTGTTGCAATTTTAATCTAATTTATTTTTTTGTTGAAAAACTTTAATACTTTTAAATTATTGTTCATCTTTGATATAATGCGTTATATTTCAACAATAATATTTATATTATGTTATTAGTTATATTGTAACTAACGTATTTAAAATTCTTGTTATGTACTTAGCTACTCTTCATTTTTTATATTAATTGCGGATTTTTTAATGTAAATTTTATGATGGGGCTTGATGATAAGACAATTTATATCTTCTGCTTGCTCCAGTTCTCTTATTTACTAACACGATTTATTTCATTGTAAATTTTAATATATGACAAAACTCTTTGCTTTAAAAAATATATATATATCAAGTTTTCGTACATAGCAAAATTGTTTTAAGCAATTTTCAATGCATGTATGTGATACATGAAGCTTCTCTGCAATCTCAAATGTTGTACTGTGATGATCCAAATCGATTAATGTTTTGATTTGATCGTCATCAAATTCAACTGGACGACCAGTGCGTTTTTCATCTTTGAGTGAAAAATCATCAGAACGAAATTTAGCCATCCAATTTTGACTTTGCCATTCATTTAAAGCTTCGTTACCATAAACAGCACATAACTTTTTGTGAGCTTGTGATACGTTTTTTCCTTTCCGGAAATAAATAAGTAAAATATGACAAAAATCTTCGTTTTGATTTTCCATTTTTCAACAGACGCCAAACAAAAACTACACAACCGATCAAAAAAATTTTGTTACTGATTTGACAAGTACCAACTATCAAGTAACAAAACGTGTTTGATATTTTGATAAATCTAAAAATTCAACTAAAGCCATCTATGAGTGAAATCCGCAATTACTAAGTTACAAACCTAATATATTTCTAGTTTATATATTATATATATATATATATATATATATATATATATATATATATATATATATATATATATATATATATATATATATATATATATATATATATATATATATATATATATGTATATATATATATATATATATATATATATTAGATATATATTAGATAACAACTGTTTAGTATACTAACAAAGCAGCTTTTTTCTGCACATTTCCAAAATGTCAAAAGAGGAAAAGAGTAAAAAACAATTCAGAAGAACTTTAAAGCTCTCTTTATGCTAAAAGCGCTCATAATATTAGTCTTGGTGTTCATTTTGCTGAACCTTCTTTGGAAGTGAAAACTGTTCCACAAAGATTCAGTTACTTTACATTGATTACTATAATTATAAAACTGTTCCACAAAGATTCAGTTACTTTACATTGATACTATTAATTGAAGTCTTACTCAATAGAATATCATGACCGATACAACTGGTTTGTTCTATCTTTAAACCTCATAAACCGGTGTTAAGCCGTTGGTTAAGCAATAGGGTCAATTTTGGAAATAGGGTCAATTTTGGATTTTTTCGAGAAAAAAATTGAGGAGTTACTAAAAGTTGCAGAATTTCATGGAGAATCCAAGTATGGCTTTTTATATTTCAATAATATTTTGACCAAGTTTCTCAAAAAAAACCCGGGTTTTACTTAAACATAAATAAGCTTTTTTTTACTTTACTTGATAAATATCAGTTGGGATATAAATATTAAAACTAATTTTGATATAAGTATAATTTCTTTAAGAACTTGAATAAAATTTAAAAGATATATTTTTATTTCAAAATTAGTCTTTGAATTTAAATTTTAATATCAATGGTAATTTAAAAATGAAATTAGATTGAGATTAATTTATAACTATTAAAATATTTTTCAATGCATCTTAAATACAGTTTGGCTTAACATCGCGTAATAATTTTAGTGGTATTGATGTTAGAAATACAGCAAGATATTAAAAAAAACAACGAATTATTTCAATAAATATTATAAATATAATGCAAAAATATTTCTGTCAAACTTTCAAAGTCTTGTTTACTATTATTTTTAGGTATTAACTACTCGCCTCTTGAGTTCGAACAAATCCTTCTCTCTTTATGAGTTTATATTCTACTTGAAACTTCAGTAACTTGCTTTACGCAACGTCAACTGATTTTCCATGACATGGCCAAATTGGCACCTGCATAAGATTTGATAAAAACACATTAATTTCAGAAATTGTTCGATAGGTAGTTAAGACTGGTTCATAAACTCGTGACTCCCATGATATCAGGTCTACCAATTTTTCAGCATTAAAGTTCAGAACAGGAGTTTTTCTTAGTCTAAGAGAAGAATCACATTTATGTAGATCTTTATTTCCAGTACCTCTAATATCTTTTATCTTATTAACAGCTACATTTCTATCAAACCTCGGAATTAGGATCAGTATTCGGCAATGCCGACCTAACTGCCAATCTTAAATTTTTTGAGTTCGCCAACCTTGTTTTTATGTTTTATGGCAAGACCTTTGACGTATGAAATTTTTTTTTGCCGATCTCTAAAACATTGAGGTCGGCAAATTATTGCCAACCTCATTTTTCCTAATTTCGAGGGTTGCTTCTATCCTCTTCAGTATTAGAACACAAAAATATTTGTAGTATACACTCACTGAAACAAAACCAAGCTGATCTTTGAATAGAGAGTGATACTATTTTAATGACATCTTCTTTTTGAAATTTGAGTTTCTGCAGCTGGTAAAATGTTTAGGACCTTCTGCAGCTGGTAAAGTGCATGTTTAGGACCTTCAACCCAAGGATGTTCAACTTTAATCTTAAACTAATAAGAAAAATAAACTCCCACAATGTACTCGGTGATAGACCTCAAATTTTCTAGATCTTTACCTAAAATTCCATGTTTAGAGATCCATATTTTACATATTCTGATAGCAGTAGTTAACCATCTTAAATGTGAAACAGACTCAATTTGTAATAAATGAAATTTTGGTGGTAAAATAAAATTTTGGTGGTAAAAATACCACTTCTAACGGCAAAAACAACTTTATAACTATAAAGTTGATATGTAGACAAGTCATTTATTATTTTATCATCGAGAGAAATAAGTGGATTACCAATTTTATTAGTTTTAAATACTGGATTTATATCTAGCATGGACCCAATAACACCAGACCATTTATTGTTAGATTTTTTTTGACTATTTATTTGATCTGAATTAATAGATTTAGTATGTGGTAAAAATAATAAAGCCAAACATGTTTTTTTCCTATATTTATTTCTTTATGCTTGATGAATCTACCCACCCAACCAGTGTTTATATTTGTTGAGTCTCCACCAACAGCCAGTAAAGACTTACCAATATCTTTCTCAGTCAACCATTCAACAATTTTATTTGCTATAATCTCTGCATGTTAAATACTTTGTTACTTTCTCAGGAGTAAAGTAAAATAAATATTATTCTCCAGGTTCCATACAAACAGAGTAATGTTCTTCTTCACAGTTACTGGAAAATTTGCATTTGAGTCACCAAGTTCAATAATTTGTTTGGTTTGATTGATTCTCCCATCAAAAAATATGCATTTCACTTCTCTATTTTTTTCTATTTTGTCAAAATCTAGATACGAGATAATTTTTGAAAGAAAGAGATCATTTTGTCTTGCTTTCTAGAAACTTTACTATAGTCATTAACTAACTTTTTATCATCAAATGTTATTAATCCTGCATCATTAAGTGTTGCTGTAGCATATGCAGCTGTAGCACGTACAGACACCCCATATCTGTGTGAAGAGAATTTACATATTTTAAATCCTTATTGACTAAGTTAATATATATATATATATATATATATATATATATATATATATATATATATATATATATATATATATATATATATATATATATATATATATATATATATGAAGACGACAGGAGAAAAAGGGCATATTTCACATTTTCCAATTATTTGACTTATGTCCCCTACTATATAAACATAATCCTGAAGGTTAGCAAAACAATGAAATCCAATGCAAAAAAAAGCCTAGGTAATGCTATCGTTCCTGCTTACAAGAAATAAAGGAAGAAAAAATTTGACTTTCAGAGACAAAATTTCATTTATTTCAAAAGTGAAAATGTGTGACATGCTCCTTTTTTCATCTATAGTCTTCATATATATATATATATATATATATATATATATATATATATATATATATATATATATATATATATATATATATATATTTATATATGTATATATATATATATATATATATATATATATATATATATATATATATATATATATATATATATATATATATATATATATATATTTCTAAGTAATCTTTAAACTGTTTCCTGGTTTCAATGTTATCAGGTTATCCAATTTTAAGCTTGGTAACAGTTCTAGTTTTAACAGTTTTTTTGAAAATATATAGCCTCAGCCGTGCGCAATCGTGAGGCAGCGGTAGCGCACTTGCCGCAGAAACAAAGAATCCGTGGTTCAAGCCCCATCTCAGGACAAGTTTTGCGACATTGGTTAGGAAGAAAACGTGAACTTCTAATTAAATACTCATCCGCAGTGCTCTGAGATAAGACCGTAAGGACTTCTTGAGGCACCTGCAACACTTCCTCCAAGTTATAAAATATTTTAATAGAATTTTTTATTGATTAGAATTTTTTATTGATTAGAATTTTTTATTGATTAGAATTTTTTATTGATTAGAATTTTTTATTGATTAGAATTTTTTATTGATTAGAATTTTTTATTGATTAGAATTTTTTATTGATTAGACATGAAAAAAAAAAAAATTTAATATTATAAGAATTAAAGTAATCAATTAAAAGTTCTTAAATTTATACTTAAAAATATACAGTTAAAAGTTGTTTACTTATTGCGGCAATAAAAAAATAATTTGCTGAACATCCTTAAAAGTAAACCTTTTTACAAAATTAACAGTTATTTTACGCATTTAATAAAATTTTTTTTTAATGTTTTACACATACTAAGTTTAAAAAAATTTTTATAAACGAAATGTAACTTTGTTTTGTTAAAAAAGTCTGGGTTTTTTTTACGGACAATAATGTCCGCTAACATTGTTATTCCGTTTTAAAGAAAACAAAAACCGTTTATACTTTCATGAAAAAGGCTAATCACCTTAGTAAATATTTTTCTGATTTAAAAAATTTAATCAGATTTGAATTCTCCAAAAAATTTCGCAACATTAACTTATATCCCAAATTTTGATAAACTATTTTTAAAAAAAAAGTCTAAAATTGACACACCCTGACAATCCAAGGAAAATATTTGCATAGGCAAAACAAAAACAGTTATGAAATATTTGTCTTGATTGCTGCTCAGATTAATTAAAATCTCTGATGAAATGGATTTCGTCATCCAAATTTATCAGTTTAACAGCAGGTTCAAGCAATAAACATTGTAAGTGTCATATTTCAATTAGAAAATATCTCTTTAGATTATGAGATAAAACTTATGAAGACTGTTTGAAGATCTTACTGAAGATCGCATTTTGAGGATCTCACCAAAATGCGATCTTCCTGACCCAACTTCGTTAATAAAAGATATTTGATTGACTCCGGTCTTACACGTTATAATTTTCAATTATATTTTATTTAAAAGAAAGACTTAATTCCATTTTCAATTCCCCTTCATTAGCAAAAGGTTCAGCTGCAAAAAACTATACGATTTTGTTTAATTTGAAATTTCAACTGATTGTTGAAAAAAAAATGTTTTAAAATCCTTTAATAACAATTGTTATACAAATATCTAATAGAGTTTGAATTGAGTTTGAATGTTTGCTGTGGTTTGAAGATTCTCAAACTTGAACTTAAACTACTTTTTAGGCAAGTAGTCAAACGTGACGCGCGCATAAACGTGTATGCGCGCATTGTGTGCGTTAATGCTGTGCATTAAAATTATGTTATAAAAATATTTTTATTAACAAATTTGAATTTTTTGACCTAAAAAATTATTACTTCAACATATAGCATGTTTATTTACAATCTTTGTCAAAATTTGTTGAGTTTTTTGTTATTCTGAGGCATAGCGCAGCTCTAAGATCTGCAAAAAACTTTTAATATTATTTTGTGTATGATTATATAACAAAGTTTTAAAGATAAAGAGAAGATGTGTAAGTCTATTTCAAAACTTCAAAAAGTTGGATTTTCAAAATCGATTTAGTTTCATGATTTTGCCTAATAATTTGCAACATGCAGTAGAACATATTAAAAAAGGCGAAATATCACTAAGTAAAGCTTCAGAGACATACAATATACCAAAGTCTGCACAAGAGTGAGCACAACAAAGTCCAATCACGCGATAGAGGTACAATTACCATGCTAATACTAGTACAGCGTTTGAATTTGTTCTCGTTTCAGTACTTAATAGTTTAGCTAATTGGGGATTAGCCGGAACGTTCAAAGATGTCATCGCAATAGTTAGGGGTTATTTGGTATCTGCAAATCAAACTTATCTGTTTCCTCCAAACGGTATACCAGGGTGAGAATTATATCAAGGTTTCACGAAACGATGGAATCATAAATTAAGCGTCAGAATAGTAGGCAATATTTTGTCTCTCAGAGCCAAAATAAGCTTCTTCTTGTATCGAGGACAAAATAACAAGTTATTTTAATGCGCTTTAAAAATAAATTCTTGAAGCAAATATTTATAATAATACTTCGTGCAATTTGGGGAACTTTGACAAAATTGGATTTTTAGGCGATCAAGGTAAAAAACATATAACTTGCAGGCTTTGTGCTAAACACCGTTTAAAACTGGTTGGTAACGACAAAAAAATTAGTTACACAGTCAGTTATTGTGTAAGCTATTGTCACATACAAGTGACAATTTTTACAGTAACAATTTGGTACGATGAAATTTTTAAAATACGGCATTTGTATAAGCTTCTACTTTGACAATGCTCGCATTAAAAATCATGTTTATTATGCATTTCATCACAGGTGTGAAAGCCAATTTTTTGAAAAAAACAGTTTTAAATAAAACTTCTTAGCAGAAAAACATTGAAAAAAGGAGTAATTAGTGGTATTGGAGCAACGTTGAAGAGAAAAGTAAAAAATTTAATCAATAGTAGACGAATGTCTATAAAGAACATGAAAGAATTTCATGATACATGCAATGGACTAAAATGTGAAATGAGACTTATTGAATCTACTTATATTGACACCAAAAAAGATGGTGAAAAGAAACTTTTTAAAGTACATAAATATATTTAAAATATTTCTAAACAGTACGATTTTATTGTTAATGCAAGCAAATTGGAAAAAAGTCTAGTGAAGTAATTTTAAAACAAAAGATATTTTCTTTTATTTATGTAAAAGGTTCCGTCGTTCAAACCCCACCTCTAGGCAAGTTTTGCGACATCGGTTAGGAAGGAGGCGTGAACTTCCGATTAAATGCTCATTCGCGGTGCTCTGTGATAAGACCGTAAGCACTTCTCGGGTCACCTAAATAAAATAATAAAAAAGCAAAAAACATAAACAAAAACCAAATCAAACAAATTAGCAAAAGAAATAAAAACAAAAAAAGAAACGAGAGAAGAAAAAAAAAAGACAAAAAACTTAAGTTGAAAGAAAAAAACATTCGAAAATGGAAAGTAATGAAAAAGAATTAAAATAAAATATAAAAATTGTTCCGTTTTTGAAGAAACGAAAAAGAATAATTTTTAAACTTTATTAATTTTGAGGGTCAATATGTGTTTGCTGGATATGATTTATATGATATGATTTCCTTTTTTATTTGATTATTTTCATTTATTATAAAAAATTAATACTTTTTGTGACAAAAAGTTTGTGTGACACGTTTTTATTTGTGAGTGTTATTGATTTTTTTTTGTTTATTTATTGTTATTTTTTAATGAAATATTTATATCACTTTTATTTTTTTTATTATCATTATTGATATTAAAATTATTTTTATTAAAGCATAGTTGCATGGTAATTGTTTTAGCTGCATGGTAGTTGCGTTTTATCAGTATATAACTGTTTGTAACTTTCTTGTCTGTGCATAATATTCATTTGTTGTTTTAAAATTGATATTGGTTTGTTATTATATAATTTTTTTATATTCTAATAATTGTTAATTTATCATCATTATTATTATCATTATTATTTGTATTATTAATACTATTTCAAGGTATTTACTTTAGATTAGTTTTTAACTATTTGTAAATGACCTCGATTGTAAGATCTTTTATGGAAACATATTGTTAATTGATTTAAACAAATAAAATTTACGTGAACAGAAATGTTTTTTTTACATAAATACTTATCAAAATGCATGACGTCAATATTTTTGGACGTCGGCGTATTTTCAGCGTCAAATACGTGACAGAAAATAGATTATATGCCACCCAATTTTGTTAGTTTCTTGTCTAAACAATTGATTTGAACAAATGATATAAATGATAAAAAAATTTTATCGATAAAAAATTTTTTAGCCATAAAATATTATCTTTATAGGTAAAAATTGATGAAATATGCTCTGAACGTCAAACACGTGACGCTCAAAATCGCACACACACAACATTAGCTTTTTTAAAAATTGTTTTATTAATTATATTATTAATAATAATAATAGTCATAATAATAATAATATATATATATTAATAATATATATTATAATAATAATAATATATATATATATATTTATATATATATATTAATAATAATATTATTATTTTTTTTTAACTTCGTTTCTTTTATTTATTCAAAAAAGATATAAATAATTTCGTATTTGCGGTACTCCCACATCTCAATCATTACAAAATACGGTTATTTATTTAGCACCTGGGAGTATGTACATATGTAATTACATAAAGTAAAGATTTTGAGAAAATATTAAATTTATTGCTATTTTTCGTATATTTCTACAAACATTTCAAAGGTACACAACTAACTAAATAAGTACTATAAACGAGTACATTGCATAAGTAATCTATTTTGGATATTTCATAACATCTAGTTTGCTTTTATGTAAACAACTCATTGAGATTTCTGCGATATACGTTTGCTCCGTTGCCTGTAATAATTCAAAGTTAAGAGTTAACGTAAAAGTTTGACTTTTATTCTTTCTAAAAGTACAAAATAAAGTAATTTACCGTGATTCTGTGCGAGACGCGGTATACTCAAACCAAAGAATGTCTGGTATGTTTGTGGAATCGCGAATAAGAAAATATTCTGCCAATTTACTAAAAAAAAAAATGATGAAAAACAATAATGTTTGTAAATACAATGCCGTTTGGCTTGCTTATAGTCTTGTAAATAGAGACCTTAAAATTGGTCAAGTGGAAACTAAGTAGTGCAGAAGCAGTTTTTAGCCTAAAAGTCTCTACGAACTTTCAATTTTTGAACTCCAAAACCCCACTAGCATACCCCTAGAGCGTTTTTCATAATCTGATGTCAAAAATGAGGTACCTAATACGATAAATTTCAAAAACATATGGTTTTCTTAGGAAATCCTAAAACAGCACCTTAATTCAAATTTAAATCTATAACTTGTCAGTTACTAATTTGATCTCTTTTAAGTTTATATTTATCAAATATAAATGTAAGTTAACAAAAATGTAGCTTTTTTAAAAAAAAAATAACAGGGGATCAAAAAAAAATCTAAAATGGCATATTTTTAGCCAATGTTTAGCGAAATCGAGTAAAACTATAGTGTTTGTACATGAACGCTGTAGAAAATTTTTTAACTACAAACGGTGTATTGCTGTTCAAGAACCTTTAAGAAAAAAACTCAAAAATATATTGACACCTTTGCTTGGAAGATAAACTGTTTTTATTGTGCTAAAAAATGTATCCAGCATTTAAAAAACCCAAATTGAAAAGATTTGCATATGGTATCAACATTAGATAATAGACAGAGGCTTCTTTGCAATTGCACGTTTAAACTGGAGGAAAATGCAAATGACTCATCGGCTCTTTAGATTCAAGCTCAATTACTAAGTTGCATTGATCTTGTTGCTGCGGAAGCTAGATATCATCAGAGCTTAAGTTTAAATTTCCAAACAAAAAAAAATTAGCAAAATCCACTAAAATAGGAAGGCCGCAAAATGAGAATATAATGAACGCATTTAACAAAGCATGTGAATGGCTCAAAGCAACTGCAGAAATTATAATGCTCAGCCAGTTGCGTAATAAATTAAAAAAACTTATGGCCGAGGTTGAGGAAGTATATTGTAAATGTTACTTAAAGAGGTTGTAAAAAGATAAATTTGGATCTCATATATTATTTGTGGACAATTCAAAAGATGTTGACAATATAATATTTTTTAAAGATATGGCAAATTTTTTTATAAATAAAAAATTCATAGGAATAGAAAAAGATACCGAATATGAAAAACCCAAATTATAAAGGTGACAGCTAATTTAATAAAAGCTGATATCCAAGAAAAGGTATACAGCACTGAATACTACCCAACAAGTGATGAAAGAAAAGGTGATTGGATTTTATAAAGTTTTAGATTGTTTCTTGGAGAGTTCACAAACTCAAGAATTCGAAAAGAAAGTATTGGATAATGGATCATCTATATGGTTCTAGGTGGTTAAATGACAAATTGTTCAAATTAGGGTTTGCAATATTGTACAGGGAGTTTTTTTATTCATTAACAGGCATCACTGTCACAACCAGTAAATCATCATTTAAAACAATTTAGTTGAGGATACATAAAATGCGATAAAAAAATTATTTTTTAAAACAAGAGTTGAGCTATTGTTTCGATACATCTTACCTTTAAATCTGTCAGAGAATAGCATCTGCAAAGTTGCACGATTGTTTTAAAAAAAGGAAACGCCAAGACCAAGTTGGTCGGGATATATGCAAGACATACCTATAGGTCATCATCCGCCAAAATCCACAATTACAATGTTACCAATTATTGATCTCAATCCTTCAGATTTCACATGTATTTACTCTACATTGGCATTAGTCATCGATCAATCAAAGATACTAAATGTGGAAACACCTTCAATTACTTTTGACCAACCATTGTGGGGAAAGGCAATTGAAATTGTTGTTGAGAAGTCTTTAAATATAGTAGTACATCTAGTTGGTTTCCATACACTGATGTCTTTTGCCGGTAGTATTGGATCTTTTATGAACGGTTTAGGCATAGAGTGTGCACTCCAAACTATCTATGGAGAGAACAGTGTGAAACATATGCTCAACGGCAAAGCGATTGGTAGGGCAACACAAGGGCACATTCTTGTTGATGCTACTCTAACTCTAAAGCTAAATGCAAATTCGGATTTGGTGAATAGCAAATTAACACCTAAAGAATTGATCAAGATTGAAAAATTCAGCAAACAAATTTCAGAAAAAGAAATAAACTACTTTGATGTTCCTTGTGCAGCTATTAAAAAGCTTGATTCGATTATTGACTTGTTGAAAACTTTATTAGCTTCCAAGTCGGGAATGGCAAAGTTATGGCTTCAATATATGAAATATATTGATATTATGCGTCGATTTATCTGTGCTTTGCGTTAAGGGGATTGGAATCTTCATTTGATCACGTTGAATCAAATGCTTAACCTTTTTGCAGCTACAAGGCACATTTATTACGCAAAATCTGCAAGGTTTTAAGAGATTTACCTATATACCTACATTTAAATACCTACAACGTATGCTTCCTCAGACTTCCTTGGATTCTTCCAACTTCCTCAGACTCATCCTTAGATGATCAGTCCTCGGATTTAGGGTTGGCATTTGGCAATGCTGACTTAACTGCCGATCTAGAAATGTTTGAGGTCTGTAAAAAATTGTCGATCTCATTTCTAGGTTTTATGGTAAAACCTTTGTATCAAATTAAAAGTTTTTACGTAATTTGAAGATCAGAGCACTTTTGGGCTGGATTGTGGCCTAATGTTGTGGTTGAGCAGGTATTTGCATGCGTGTGTTAATGTTCTTTCTTTCCGCTTTAAAATTTATAGTTGGTTATGCTCAAATAAGTATTATTAGATTTGGTAAGTATTACTTATTGGTTAGGCTTTAGAATATTAATAGTTCCATGGAACTAGTTATAAATTTTAGTTTATAACCTTTATTCTACCAAGCACTCATGCAATCATTGAAAAATTGAGAGGGCCTGACTAGAGGTAAAGGATTTACTTCATCAGTGTGCACTCTATGGCTGCAATCTCATTCTTGTGCAGGCATTCACAATGCTTTATCTGAGTTGACCGGCAACAAACACAACAGTAGCGATCAACATGAAGAAATGGGAAAGAGTCGAAAAAAGACTATGACAACTTAGATAAAATATTTTGATCAAATATTTTGAATCAAATGAAACCCATTTGATCAGAGTCAACCCATTTGATTCAAAAAGGTCAGAGCTCTAGTCTTTATCTATTAGTTTGATTTCAGATGAAACAATAAACTGTGATAAAATTGAAAGTGTTGGGTTTATTTCACAATTAATGTTGGATGGTGTAGTTGTCGTTAAAACTTTAATAAAACGAAAGCAGCAAGTGAAACCATTGTCTGATCTTAAGAATATTGTTTCAAAATCAAAAGATCAGCATTGATCCTGCTTTATTATTCATGCAATTGATAGTAATTGCAGAGCAATGTAATGATATTAAGAGTTACTTCAACTACGAACTGACTTTAGTTCCAACAGCATTATTTTTAGACAATAACATGAGAAAGCCAAACAAAGCATCTTTTATTGAAACATTGTTGGGAAAGGATTTTCAGTCGATTGATGAATCTGATATTATAGAGATGAAACACCACATAGGAGATGGCGAAGCACTGTTAAGAAAGGTAAGTTATTTTACTTTTAGTTTTTAGACATAATTTAAAATTACTAATTTTTAAATGGAATTTAAAAAATAATTTTTAATATATATATATATATATATATATATATATATATATATATATATATATATATATATATATATGCACTGTTATGCATGCAAATGATGATGCTGATACAATGATATTATAGAGATGAAACACCACATAGGAGATGGCGAAGCACTGTTAAGAAAGGTAAGTTATTTTACTTTTAGTTTTTAGACATAATTTAAAATTACTAATTTTTAAATGGAATTTAAAAAATAATTTTTAATATATATATATATATATATATATATATATATATATATATATATATATATATATATATATATATATATATATATATATATATATATATGCAATGTTATGCATGCAAATGATGATGCTGATACAATGATAGTTGAAGCTGCTTTAGATCAATGCAAAAATGGAGATTCCGTAACAGTGGCTGCCAATTATACTAATTTAATCATTATGTTGATGTATTTTTGGAAGAAGGGGATATGCCAGGTTATCATAAGTTCAAACTGTGGTAAAAATGGCAGATGTCAACGCAAGAAGTTGGAAATAGAAACTGCAATAACCAACAGTTTAGTTATAGCATACTTGCTTCTCATTTATGTGTTTGGTGGATGTGATACAATATCAGCTATGCATGAAAAAGGTAAAGCTTCAACATCATCTCATCTACAGAAATCAAAAGAGATACAAAATTGTTCGATTGCTTCATGAACTCATCTAGTGTGCAAGAGGAAGTTGGGAGTGCAGGTATCAAGTTGTTTATCATACTGTACAAAGAAAAAGCTAATGACACACTTTCAGAGATGAGATGTAACACATATATGCAAATGGCTGCATCTGCCTCAAGAATTGTACTATCAAAGCTATCACCTACAAAAAGAGCAGTATGGTATCACAATTTAAGACCATACCTTTAGGTTTGGCAGTGGAAAATGTTAATGAAGTGTAACTTGAATCGGTTGTTAATGTTAATGAAGTGTAACTTGAAATGGGGTTGGAAGATCATAAGTGGAAAATTGGTATGATCATGATCGACCAAGTGTCTTTTTTTTTTTCTTAAGGTACTCATATTGGGGTAATTCCACATCAAATCACCCAAATTTTTCAAGATTTTGAACCATAGGTCTCATATTTTCTTTAAACTTCTTTAGCTGTTGCATTTCATATAGAAAAGTTCACATGCAAAATTTTAGCCAAAAATGTTCAGCCGTTCACAAGATATCAAGGTTTTAATATAGACCTGGTTTCCCAAAATGACCTGGTTTCTGTGTCATTTTAAAAAAACGTTCGCTCTAATAAAATGAAAAATAATGAAAATAAAAATATGAAAATTAGTATTAATAATGCTTTTCTAATGCAGAA